AAGTAACATACATCACAATAGCAAATCACCTGCCACAAGGGTGGATAAATTGATAAATGATTATCCAAGTGCATTCAATTCAATTAGCAAGTTTGAGTCTATGTCTTTCACATACAAGATATCTTTGGAAGAAAATGCACAACCAGTTATTCATGCCCCAAGGCATGTATCAGTGCCTATGAGAGGTAAAGTGCATAGTGAACTTTCAAGACTTGAAACATTAGGCATCATAAGAAAGATTAATGACCCTACTGATTGGGTTAATAGCATGGTAGTTGTAAAGAAATCAAATGGTGATGTAAGATTATGTGTAGATCCTACAGATTTGAATAGGTCAATCAAAAGGGAACATTACCCAATACCAAAAAAGGATTTGATTATTAGTGAGATGAAAAATGCAAAGGTGTTTAGTAAGTTGGATGCTTCAAGTGTTTTTTTTCAAATTAAACTCCACCCTGAAAGTCAACCCCTCACAACCTTTAATAGTCCCTGGGGCAGGTACTGTTACCAACGTCTCCCACAAGGTATATCTAGTAGCCCAGAGGTGTTCCATAAGGCAATGGAACAGGTAGTTGATGGTCTAGACGGTGTACGAGTATATATCGATGATCTGATAATCTGGGGAGAAAATGCAACTGAGCATGACATGCGCTTAAAAATGGTCATGGAAAGGCTGGTCAAATTCAGTGCTTTGAACGCGATCTAGCAATGACTAAAACGTCAGTGGTATGATAAATCGAAAGGCAAAAGTTCAATATACAATTGAATGTTATGAATGAAAATAGTGGAATAAAACAAACCCGGTCTTTGGTTTTGTCGGTCTCTGTCAACAGTAGCTTTTCGGTTTACAGTCTCGGTATACAATTTTGCCGGTTGACCTCTTGAAAGGAAAACAATTGTATATTGTTTCGCGATACCCCTGACAGCGTAGGAATTATGGAAATCTCAAAACCGCTGAATAACTTAAGAAAAGATTGCTCACGTTGTCAGCAGGAACCTGCTCCCAATTCCAAGGGGCCTGGACAGTCCTCGTGAATTTACGATGCATAAATAAATAGCACGGAAGTTAAACCAAATCCGGCCTGGGAAAATTCAGATTTCTAGATTTAGCCTGATTGGGTTTCGCTTGTTGTATTATTTAAAATGTGCTTTTGATGAAGCAATTTTGTAGCTTTAAAATGATTTCAAGTGGTTTGTACCTTAAAAACCCATGTTATGTTAACAGTGGTTTTAAATGATACTTTTGTAAACTCTCTTCTCCAAAGTTTTGTCTTCGTGTCTTCAGGCGAATCGTTTGGCGGATCAATTTAGACTTTTCAGGGGTGATTCTTTCTATGCAAATCTTAAACGTAATATTTCGGCATTTTGGAATTTTTGTCCTAATTATAAAACCTTGTCTCTGATAATTCAACAATTTTTGACTAATTTTTTGACATTAGTTTATCAAAAAAACATTAAGAGTTATCAAAAAACTATTTGCCTCCAGGAATTAGCTTTTTTCCAAGGAACATGATGTGATGAAAACCCCCGGAGCAAAAATACTGAAGAACGACTGAAAGAAAAATGGTGAAATACTGAAAACTCAAGATTTGACCTAGTTTTTGAACTTTGACCTAGATCAAGAAATTGACCTTATTTCCCAGAATCCCAGGTTAGTTCTTTAGTTAATTAACCATAAAGTAGGTTTAAGTAAGCTAAAATAAGGAGGAGAAGAAGAAAACAGGCAAAAGCAATAGACTTAGATCAAATGGCGAAAACATGTAGTGCAACAATTGACCTAAATCGCAGTCAGGATGACCAAAATCTCAAAACAGGTAAACAGATGCTTGGTAGATGTGTATGGCACTGTGATAGTTGTATATATTCAATACACAATCAGAATCGAGACTGAAAGTAAATTGCAAAAGAGATAGAATAGGGTTGAGTAATTCGCCACACACAAGCAAATGATTATGGCTAAGTTGCTAGTCGATTCCACTTTTCTCTTGTTTTCTTCCCTGGACGTCTTAAGTTCCTGATCACATTTTCTTCTCTTCAGAACAATTTTGTTTTAAGGATATTTACTGATTATAGTTTCTTCTAACTTCACACAAATATCTTTTCAGATGAGATATTTTCTTTAAACACAATTTTTTTTTATTAGCTCATCAATTATGTTGTATTTTTTTTATTTATTCACATGTTTCACTGGTTAAAGGACAAAGCGCACATTCCACATGTGACTAGCTGTTTTTTCTTTTTAGAAATTCAATTAATCAACATACTTCCTTTTCAAATACTTAAGCAAAACTCTACGGCTACAGAAGTGACAGCAAGCAGTTTACAGCTAGACTTGAATGTACATTAAAAAAATAGCTACTGCAAAATTTTTGAAGTGGTTTCATTAGTTACAGGTAACAGTGTATTTTGAAAGCATCGGACTTTAACACCAAGTATAACTTCAGAAACATACATAAGATTCTTTGAGATATTAAAAAAACCGTGCGTACATTCAGCATTTATAACTAGACCAAATTGCAATTACGTTAAACCAGAAAAGGATGAATAGTATGAGATTTTCCGGAAAGGCTGCGATTGTTACTGGATCGAGTAGTGGAATTGGAAAAGGAACTGCATTGCTACTGGCTAAAGAGGGCGCTAGTGTTCTGATCCATGGACGCAATTTTAGTGCCATTAAAGAGACTGTTGCTGAATGTATAAAGGTTGCCTCTGAGAATGCTAAGTTTCCATATATACAAGGGGACATCGGTGATGATGATGTACTGAAGAAAATTCATGACACAGCCGTTGAAACATTCGGCAGGATTGACATTTTAGTCAACAATGCGGGGTATTTTGACTCAGACCCTACTTTGAGCTCGGGGTCAATTAAACTATATGATGACACTTCTAAAATCCTGTTGCGAGCGCCACTTCTTCTGTCGCAAATGTGCTTGCCTGAACTGAAACAATGCAAGGGAAACATTGTGAATATTTCAAGCAACCTTGGTGTACTCGCATCAGATGGTTGTCCTTTCTACTGCATTGCTAAAGCCGGGCTGAATATGTTTACACAATGTGCCGCATTGGAGTTTGGTGGCCAAGGAGTTCGTGTTAATGCTGTATGTCCAGGATTATCAAAAGGAACTCGTGTTTTGAAGAGTCAGGGTGTTCCAGAAGCGGTAGAAGAAACACGCTATTCCGTCTTAGAAAAATGTTCCCCACTGGGCAAAATTGGAAATGTGGAAAACGCAGCAAAACTGATAGCATTCCTAGCTTCTGAAGATGCATCCATGATAAATGGTTCATGCGTTGTTAGCGATGGTGGTACTACGTTGACTGGCCTAGATAATAAAACATTCATGCTGCACCTTTGATTAAGTGCTGAAGGCGTTGTTAGCGATGGTGGTACTACGTTGACTGGCCTAGATAATAAAACATTTATGCTGCACCTTTGACCAAGTGCTGAGGGCGTTGTTAGCGATGGTGGTACTACGTTGACTGGCCTTGATAATAAAACATTTATGCTGTACCTTTGACCAAGTGCTGAGGGCGTTGTTAGCGATGGTGGTACTACGTTGACTGGCCTTGATAATAAAACATTTATGCTGTACCTTTGACCAAGTGCTGAGGGCGTTGTTAGCGATGATGGTACTACGTTGACTGGCCTTGATAATAAAACATTTATGCTGTACCTTTGACCAAGTGCTGAAGGCGTTGTTAGCGATGGTGGTACTACGTTGACTGGCCTTGATAATAAAACATTTATGCTGTACCTTTGACTAAGTACTGAGGACAAGGGAAATACTTTTGAAATTGTGTCAACATAATCAATTCATAAGAAAACATATCAATCTACAACATATATATTGCACAGCTGTTTAACATTACTCAGGCTTCGTGGAATATCACTTGTGAAAGATACACAGATATTCAATGAAACTGGGGTTAAATATTTGTTTTATTATTCGCTTTTATATTCCTCTCTCGTATTGGAATAACATAATTGATGTTTTATTAATGATAACAATATACTCACTTTGTAATCTGTAGGACTATTTCATTACATTTTAAATGGTGCTAATATCACTCCGATAAAATATGATAAGATGCAGTTAATCCTGCTTTGCGGTAAACACGATAAAAATATCTGTCATATTCCGAAAGTGAATTTGATAGATTTACCACCGGTGTATGACATTCTCACATGGCGTGCATGGCATACATACTGACCAATGATAACGTGTGACGGAAGTACTGAAAAGCTAAATGGCCAATCTCAAAATGAAAGCACCGAAAGATATATATTTTGTCATCTTTTGGTCCTTTGACCTTTCTTATACCAGATTCTTAAAATCCTGCCAAATACGCCTAATTGCTATGCTTCTAGGCCCATGGTCACCTCAATTGATAAAATGTAAAGATTTGTGAGATTGATTGACATGTTTCAGATATATGCCAATCAATGTAACTTTAGAACACCTTTCCAATGATATATCACACTTGGTACCAAATATCTTGGTTTTGGCTGAAGAGGGAGGGGCGGGACTTATTTGACACCCTGTAAATGTATGCGGCTGCCTCGTGCACAAAAGAGTCTTTCATTTAAAGATTTAAGCCCTGGACTCAGTGCATTGTTTGCTGAATCATACCATGAAAGTGTTGTTTCCAAATCTTTGTTTAGGAGACAACGCCTGAGTCTTGGGCTTAAATTATTTTCTCACATTGCAGAAAAACGTATATCTAAACAAATTAAATTATAACGACCGGCTTCTTACAATCAATGGTATAACTTATTACAAGAGATTTTCTTGTGTTTATTAAGGCCGAAAAGGCACGGTGTGAGAGGGACAGTTTCGCCGTATAACAAGCTCCATTCTGGGTTAATACATATAGGTTCGTTTCTTCATATCTAGTCACTTGACTATACTTGACTGTAGAATCAAGGTCAAGTAGATTGAATTGTTGTGCCACTTACTATATACTATATCAAAATATGCATTAGATTAGTTGATGAAGGTCAACATGATACAGTATAGAGGTATAGCTTGATAATCAAAAGAGTTCTACCTATTATAGAACTAGGACTATATTCTGGCAATCTTTTCCAATAGGACATTTATATTTTGAGAGGACTTTATTTCCTGGTATCATGTACAAGTGTATGGAAGTTCAGGTTCCCACCGAGCCACTAACGCTGGTTGAGAAACCCATTCCAGTTCCACCATCCAAGGGACTGGTTATCAAAGTAAGTTTTTTCAGAATTCGATGTTGTTTATTTTTTTCATTTATTTTAATCGTATATTAACAAATGTCATCAATTGTGGTATTTATAACGGTATGTGCTTTATCTGATTTGATTTGATTTCCACAAGTACAGTTTGTGATTTTGAAAAGGACAAACAATATTCTTTTGTGTTGAACGTAAATAATATTATTTATATTTCTTTAATTCACAATTTTCACTTATAAAATTGATATGTAGGCAAAGTAGAAAGGTTTAAATAGGTGTATCAGTTTTTTATATAAATTTTATACATTTGCATGTATTTTTTCTATGCACTCTCCTACATTCCAATATGTTTGTTTTGAAAAGGATACTAGATCATAAGTTTTCAGGATTTCTGTTTAAGAATGTTATAATTTACATCTGTAGACTGGTGCAGGAGGTATATGTCACTCTGATATCCCCATTGCTGATAACTATATGAAGATGAGTGACACATTGAAAGATAACTCACTTACACAGTTTGACCCGGACTACAAATACCCTGTGGTAATGGGTAAGTTAATTCAATAAGTCGAACTAAATATGGCCTAAATTACGACTTTTTCTATCATTAGTTGCAAATTTTATTGGAGACAGACTTGAGATCATCCTACAGCTTTGTTTGACAAAGCTGAAAACATTATTTAATTGTGGGTCCTGGACCATGCTACCATGTAGTGTACAACTTGAGCGAACAGTAACACAAACATGTCGATCAAGTGTTGAACTACATGTATTCGCTAATTTGAAAAATCAATAGACAACATTTGTTTTTAAAAATACATATAGTGATGTTCATTAGCAATGTACATGAATTTTATATAGTTTTTTAAATTAAGAGCTTCGTGCGTGTGTTTTCAGGCCACGAGATTGCCGGGATAGTACATAGCATAGGAGAAGGACGGTGTCCAGGTAAACAAAGCATGCTACATTGTATATAATGCCACATGTTGCATTTGTATATAAAGGTACATATTGTATATGATGCCACATATTGTATATGATGTCACTCGTTGTGGATGAAGTCACATTGGTGGCAAATATTGTACACGATGCCACATATTGCATATGGTACCATATAATGAATTTGGTGCCATATATTGTATATGATACCACATATTTTATATGATGCACCATATTGTATATGATACCACATATTTTATACGATGCAACATACATATTTTTAATATGGTGGCAGATATTGTACATATATATGATTCCACATATTGTATATGATTCATCATATTGTATATGGTGCCAAATATGTTACTCATTGAATATGAAGCCAGATAGATATGGTTCCATTTACTGTATATGGGCCAGAAATTGTATATGATCCCACATATTTTGAATAGTGACACATATTGTATATGATGCCACATATTGCATTTGTCACATATTGCGTATGCTGTCACATATTGTATATGATGTCACATACTGTATGTGATGCCACATATTGTATATTATGCCACATATTGTATATGATTCCAAATATTGTATATGATGCCACATATTATATATGATGACTCATACTGTGATGATGCTAAATATTGTACATGTATATTGCATTTTACAGTCATAGGGCAGAACTAGGATTGAGATTTTGTAAAATTTAAAACCGCTCAACAGTTCAACAAAGTCATCATGATCTTGCCAATATGCTCGATATGTACAGTTTATGCAATATTTGACATCGAGTGCGTAAACTATAACACCATCTGTAACTTTCATTTTAATGAAAGAGACAATTCAGTGTTAAGATCTGAACCCTGAACTTTACATACTGAGTTTTACACTTAAAACGCTCGCGTACCAGTTCGAGAGCTATTGGAATAGCCCTAATGCCCCAATCACATTTGATCTACGGCAACCGTTCGGCGGCCATAGCTTCTCAAAGTCGAGAGAAATATGCAGCATTAAATATAGGGATAAGCCGTATTTTCAATATCGATTTTGTTAAGCTACGGCCGCAATAGAGCAAAGGTGACAGAGGCTTAAGAGTCAGTCAATTTATGCTCTTCAGGTAGTGAAGATTTCAATGTGGGTGACCGTGTGGCAGTCTATACATTCCAAGGCTGTCAAGAATGTGAAATATGTACCTCGGGTAACCATTTGCTGTGCCCAAAGAGATCCACACATACCCTGGGGATGGGGAGAAACGGAGGGTAAGTAAACATGTAGGGTATATTGAACTAAATGCTAGATGGCGTAATAAAAATCAAACTTCAGTGCCGACAGACTTTTTTTCAACATTTCAGATTTTTTTTAAAAATCCAGGTGAAAGCTATACCCATGTGTAAAAGAATTTGTATGTTAGAAACATTGACAATTAGGTTATTTAAAAACCATTTTAATTTAACGTTGATTTCAATGGGAAAAGCCTTTTTTATTTAAAAATAAAAGAAATAGATTCTGGCATGTTTCGAACCGGGGTTTAACATTTTAAAACCCAGCGCTAATTGCGCAATGCGGCATTTGAACAATCAAAGTAAATTTTAAAATCAACAAACATCGGTGTTTTATCCAGTTTTCGTTTTTGTTATTAGAGATGCGCGGACTGACAGCGCAATGGACAGTAAAGTTCTTCAGTATAAAATGTCGAAAACATATGTTTTGCAACTTTATCGCTTGTCCCATAGCCCGTGAAAGGGAAAGATTAGGTGAAGAATCAGATCTTTGTCATCTACGTGTACATATAATTTAGGTATGCAGAATATGTGAGTGTCCCAAACAGGAAGTTTGTATTCAAGTTACCAGATTCTATTGCCATGGATACTGCATGTCTGTTTTCGTGCAGTGCATTAACTGCCTACAATGCTGTCACAAGGACTAAACCTGCAATTGAAAATGCACTCAAAATGCTAGGTAAACACTTTACCATTTACCATTTAAATACAACTCTCTAATAAGATTTATTATTTTATTAATTTGTGCATCAATTTCATTTCCAGGTTCTGCTACGCTTTTGATAATAGGAGCAGGAGGTTTAGGGCAGTGGGCAATTCAGATTGCTAGAGCTGTTCTTCCAAAAGAGACTAAAATAATGGTAGCTGATATTACAGTAAGGCACATTTCTTTAATGAAATACAACTATCATTGTGATAAAAAGGAGGCTCGAGAGAGGTCAACGTTGTTACATCGTACCTGGGAGAATACAAAGGATGAGTCAGAACATGTGTCCTTTTAATCCATTTCTGTGATTCCAAAATTAAGAAACTTTACTTATTAGAGGAATTAATTTTAAAGTTCCATAGATTAATTGTTTTCTTTATTTTATTAAATTATATTCTTCGTCTTTGATGATTTTTACACATCAGAAAATTAATTTTTGATTCTAGATACAATAAATGCATATTGTGTTTTAATATGAGATTGTTATAACTCAACATCACATGACCAATTCTAAGAGGGTTGAAACAGTTGATATCAGATATGACAATTTGAAACTAAGTTTACTAGATTTGTCTGGAGATAGTACAATTTCATACTGAATTCTAGCTTAATGAGAGGGAATTGACATGGGGCATGTTTCTGGGATGAAGCCCATGTCAAAATACATTTTTGGCTTATTTAAAAAGAAATATCAAATTGGCATATTGGATCAAGGGAAAGATCAATACCCGGTGATTTCAGTGGGAAGTGGCGTTTCGTTCAGTGGACGAGCTGCGCGCGCACGCATAAATGTGATTATCAATATTATTAGGGGAGGGATATTCAAGCTTATTTTCGTCATAGGCGCGACCCAGGGCTGTTGTCTTAAGGACATTTCGTTGAAAATTAGCCATTCGGCTGATAATTTGTAAGAGTTTGCGATCTTATAATGTATAACTGTTATTCAGAAACATATTTTGACACGATTCTGTTGGAATTAAGCTTTGAACCGAGAGATATTCACGATTGATATGCACATTTTTGATTGTGCCATTGCTTTTCCATTGCACAATCCATGTATTGATAGAAGTAACAATAATGCAGATTGTTTTACCTTCAATACATGGCGAATTCACTACATATCGGTCTATTAAATACCATTTTGTGCCCTAAATAGTTTTATATTTCCATCACGGCCTGGAGCCTGGGTGTGTTTGTATCTTATGTGTATGCGACTGAATATTGGTGGGGCTGGTAGGGCCACCAATCCGCTGGCCCCACCCATCCTTTATTCTTCTTCCCACTTATTATAATTTATGCTGTAACATTTAGACTTCGCTGGAAAACAGTAGGAATTATTTTTCTTGCCAATCAATCGTGAATCACAATCAAAATTTCAGAAAGGATCAATCAGGCAATCGTCCAAAATCCAAATCAAGTTATAACATTATATGATATTCAGCAAAAAGAAATATAGAATATTTAAACATCAAAGCTGAAAGTTAAAAGCTAATCTGTCAATTTTCTGTCTGCAAAAGAACGTTTACATTTGACACAATAAAAGACCGAGGCTTTGAAATCTAGGATTCCCCAGGAAAATATGACGTCACACTAATTAGCATAAGGATTTCCCTAGTGGTCTGGGTCGAGCATCGTCCGAAAACACAATCCGATAAATACATGCTAATTTCTAAGGAGATGGGAAGTGTATGACGTGTTTATCGATTTTGTTTAACGATTTAATCAATTATCAAATTGTTTAAGTGGATAAAGTGGTCACACTTGCTTCAATTCATAGCGTAATCGACGGATAGAAACTGCACCGAATTCCCGATATCCTACCCCGAATTATGTAGGCTATAACCACAGTGACCTTCAGATGGCGCTATCACAAACAAGTTCTGCACGAACCGATAAATTCCCGGGTATTGTAACGCCCTTGATTGGATCTGAAACATTTTCAAAATCATGTTTGTAAAAATCTGGGGAATTTTGTAGAGGTTTTTGCAGGGGTTTGATATGTTCAAAAATATCTAATAAGTCCAGATCTATGTCCTTGGTTAAGATAATGTAATACTGCAAATCCTATCGTACACAACATGGGACAAGTTTCTTTGCGACAATAAACATATAAGCAACTTTTCTTTCGCCTAACGAAAATAATATTTTTTTAGTACTGATTCGATGAATAAATGAATGCACTCTAATGAAGAATACATTATAGGAGGAGAGATTAGCAGTTGTAAAGGAGAGTGTTGATATGACAGTCCAGTGGTCTACAGATGGTAAATATAGTACACCAACTAAACTAAGAATGTCATTGATAAATGTTTATCAGTTTGTGTCCAACATGCGATGCGCAGACCAAAGAACTCAATTTAGATTTGCAAAATAAATAATATCAAAACCTAATGTCTATAGATTATTCATAGCATTTGAACTCTTTGCAGAAGATGACATGACTTTCATGCCTAAAGTAGCCGAGGTGACCGGAAGTGGTCCACTGGTAGAGGCATCTATAGATTTTGTAGGGGCTCCTGCGACCATGAAGCGTGCTATGTGGCTAGCAAATAAGGTTGGTGTGAGGCTACCATCAAAAAGCTGAATCTGAATGACATGGCATGGTCCTGGAACATATCTGGTAGTGCTTGTGAAGCTTGGTAAACTAATGAATAATATGAGGGGAAAAGTACGATTTTATGTATCTGGAAGTCACTTCCCAAATGATGATTTGTACACAAAAATGATACAGACATAATGTTTTCAAAATGTCCAACGGGTACTATGTTTCAAAATGATTTTAGGGCTCTACGCATTGCATAGTTGGATTATTTGGAGGGGACACAACATTCCCAGTGCCATTTGTTCCATGTAAAGTGATCAATATCCATGGGATATATCTAGGATCGACCCAGCAAATGCAAGAAGTTATACAACTTGCAGCAGAGGGAAAAGTAAGTGAATATAATGCAAATATAATATTTGTTTTAATTTTGAACTACAAGTTGTTTCCATGAATATTTTCTTTTCAAATACCACATTTAAAGCTTAAAAATGTATTTCTATTTGATTGAACACAATAAAAAAGGTAAATTGTTACATATTTTTAGATAACGCCTCCACCTTTGGAGCATGTTACACTAGATGGTGTAAATAATGCTTTGGATAGACTTATAGCATATTATAAACAACATATTTACACTTTTTCAGATAACTCCCCCACCTTTGGAGCATGTTATACTAGATGGTGTAGATGATGCTTTGGATAGACTTATATCATACTTATCCATTTTCAGATAAGGTCTCCACCTTTGGAGCATGTTACACTAGATGGTGTAAATGATGCTTTGGATAGACTTATAACATATTATAAACAACATATTTACACTTTTTCAGATAACTCCCCCACTTTTGGAGCATGTTATACTAGATGGTGTAGATGATGCTTTGGATAGACTTATATCATACTTATCCATTTTCAGATAACGCCTCCACCTTTGGAGCATGTTACACTAGATGGTGTAAATGATGCTTTGGATAGACTCAGAAAGGGCCAAATTAAAGGAAGAGCAATTATCACGTTCGATTAAAGATGTTCTTCAACTAGGACTCGTCTACAAACATACTACCAGTTGTAAAAGTGATTACATTATTATATGTAACAGCGTGGATTAGTTCACAAAGCCTACCATACAAGACTTTTCTTAAATATATCAACTTCACTTTCGTCGCCATTATCGTGCAATTTTGTATGCATTCATCTTTCAAAATGTTCGTCTCGTATAAAGCGAATACTCAAAGTGCAGGAAGTGAACATTGCTCCATCCTATGCAAATTAAGTAAAATTGTAATCAATCATGTATCTAGCTAAACGCACTACATAGAGTTTAAGTGGCTTCGATCTGTACAATGGATACTTTTCAATTAAGTGATTCTATGATCATAGCAAACTGTCAATCATTTTAGCATTTCATTTAGTGGGTGGATCTCAGGCTGTGAAAGTATTCTATCATTTGGTTCAGATAGCTGCAGAGACACAAACAGATATTTTTTTGATAGATCATCCATATTTATAAATAGCAATTGACTTATTATTACCAATGCTAGAAAGCCTTTCATTCCCCTTGTCCACCCGTCAGTCAACTTGCATAATAGTGTAAAGGGTGTTGTTGCCCTTTTGGTGTGCAAATAAAATACATTCTGCGACATAGACTTTCTTATGTTAGTATATGTTTATGCAACGAGCAATTAGTCCAAACACCAATATGAGCGAAAGTACCATAAACTTTGCAGTTGATTAACATTGCTCATGTATGAACTGTTGTGTTCCACACAATACGTTCATGATCATATTTATAAAAATAGAGAGGTCATTTAATCGGAGGGATGGGAATTTTATTCCGAGTGTCAAAATGATATTAATCGAGGCCAATATCATGTTTTCTCGAGGAAAGAATTCATATTCCATCATGACCATCAATAACTTATTCATTCCATAATATTTTTGGAAACTTGTTTTGTATGTCTTCACCAAATGATGGTGACATTAAATGATACAATTTAATCTATGGAATGACAATTTAATTTATCGAATGACTTTTATCAAAAAGTTTTAAAATATAACTGATTTTTAATACTAATATGGATCATAATATGGCATAACAAAACAATATTAAGTATCATGGAATTTTCTGATAGTTCTGATACAGGACCTGATACGGGATCCAATACGGGATCTGATACTGGATTTTGGCTGATACGGGATTTTTTGAATATCAGTTTTATTCCCAGTTTATTTCCAAGGGAAAACATGTTATTGATGGTCGTGATTGAATATGGATTTTTTTCCTTGAGAAAATACGATATAAGCCTCGGGAAATATCATATTGACACTCGGGCTGTCGCCCTCGGTCAATATGATATTTTCAATATTATATCTTCCCTTGAAATAAAATTTGTATTCCATCCCTCTTATTCTTACTCTTATTAAGATTCTTAGATCATCGAGTAAAACCCATTGTAACTCTATATGATATAAGTTCCCAAATTTTCAAACAAAAAGTTCTTAAAACAACATTTTTCATTAAAAAAATATAGACCATATTTTAGCTTCAATGATTTATCAACATTTTGCGCTTTTCAGCAACATTTCAACTCTGAACAAAAACAATTTGACATTTTGCAAAATGTCAAAAACCTCTTTGAAAATTATAATTGCACTCAAGATAAGAATGAACCTTGAGCAACACTTTAATTTTATCTGGTACTATAGCAGGTCAGTGCCCGAGTCAGTGTGACCTGGAACTTGTTATTAAATTGTTCTTACAATTAAGTACGTGTCTAGAATCTTGGATCTTTTCACACAGGATAGTTTGGTTTTTCACCAACAAACACAAACTACGAGCTATATTGGCACATGGTTGTTTAAAGACCCAATAAAAAGATTTAAAACATTGTTAATCATGGAAAATTGACTTTAGAAAAGGTTGTTCGTTTTTAATGTTTCAGATACAGGTATTGCCCGTAATCAAGGCAGCGAAAGTTAAGATTCTTAGATCATCGAGTAAACCCATTATGACTCTCTATGATATAAGTTCTCAAATTTTCAAAAAAAATTCTTAAAACAACGTATTGACATAAGCCAAAATGATTTAATCTTTTTCATTGAAAAAATATAGACCATATTTGAGGTTCAATGAATTTTCAACATTTTGCGCATGAAAAAGATTGAGATATCATTTTACTAGTCTACACTTTTGTAAACACATATGACAAAAAGCATACATATACTATAAACGTTCGATGGAAATCGTTTAAACAGTTCAATATTTCTTCAAAAAGAAAAAAATTGACTTTTCAACAACATTTCAACTCTGAACAAAAACAACATTATATATGTATATATGTATTTAAGAATTGCCTTCGACATTTTGCAAAATGTCAAAAGCAATTTGATATTCTACAAAATAAATGACTAGATAGCAGCAACGCTAGGGCGTAGCAAAAACCACCGAACAGCGATGGATGCCATTTTCACAAATTCCAGCCACTTCTTTTTCAGTCATAGCTCTACTCCTTTTCGAGTTAAGATAAAAAAGGTATATAACACGGGTAAAAATGGCAGCCATTTTGATCATAAAATTGCATGGAACGGCCCCCACTTTTGAAGATGGCCACCATGTCTTTCTAAATATTTAGATTTTTAACTTAACCAATATTCTGTATATTTCTTTCCATTTAAAACATATTAATATTGCAGTTTTTATGTTAATCTAAAATACTGTTAAATTGACACTAGAATGGCGGTCATTTTAAAAACGGCAGCCATTTTAAAAATCGTATTTCGAACAGAATTTGTCCTGTCATACGTATAAAAATAAATAATATTGCTCCATTGGTATTTTGGTTATTGCCCGTTTGGATAATTAACCAATCCTGTTCCCAGTCAGTAGGCAGATATGCGAACCATATGTCTATATACTCTCAAGGTTTCATAAATTAAAGGGTCTGTCATAATAAGTATTAATGTCCATGATCCCTCTCCCAATATAATAACAAAACAAGGTTGTGTGCGGTTGGTTAGATGGCAGAAGCTTGTCTGTTAGACTGGTCATCGCCGGAAGGCGTGTGAGTGTGGACACCGCGATCCCCGGGATTACGATGGTCAGTCTAAGACGCTTCTTTTTTTTCAAAACCCATTTACGCAACTCGACAGCCCTCGCCACCGATGTATTACATGCATCAGTGTTTCAGGCAGGTATGTGGAGTTTGTAACGTGCAGCAGTGTTACAGGCAGGCATGTACAATTTGTAACATGCACCAGTGTTGCAGGCAGGCATGTGAAGTTTGTAACATTCACCAATGTTTCAGGTAGGCATGTGGAGACAACAAAAAGGCACCGTTTTTGGGGCAGGCTTGTATTAACATGAATTCGTGCACCCTTTCAAGGCAGGCATGAATTACAGGGTGTGCATAAATAGGCAACCTCAATGAATCAAGACTGTATTTGTGTATGCCTGCGGTTCTAGTGAATTGCTTAAATGAGGTTTCAGCCCAGATATCACTAAAAATAACAATAAGCCCTTCAGTGCTCACTACATGCTGATGTGTTTTCAACAAAAGACCTAATTCAATCAAACTAATCCTCTCATAGTTCTTTTGAAAAACATCACGGTTCATTGCTATCGAACTCCTGTGGTGCACTAGCAACAAACCGGCGTGGTTGACACACGCGAGCAAGGTTTCCACAGCGCAGAGACATATAAAACAGTGTTTTATATGTCTCTGCACAGCGTAACTGCTTTTGTTGAAATCGTCTGAGCATGTAATTTGCAATGCATGGGCTCATTGTTCTTTCTCGTGATACCTAGGAATACTTATTATATATTATGCAATGCGCTAGCCCGTGGGCAGTTCAAAAACGCAGCCCAAGTAAGTGAAAAGCACAAATAGCATGGTTGAAAGGCAGGTCACGTTTGATTGCATACAAGCAATATGGAATAGAATGCCTCTTAGATATAACACATACATAAACCGTAACTTTGTAGAGTCCTGAATGTGAATAGGTTATTAAAACTAAGAACAATGATATTTAGGAGAAAAATACACAATGTTTTGACCAGAAACGGACCACTCTTGGAATTGTCTGAAGTCATATTCTTGGTTTGATTTAATTTTAAAACAAATATACGAATACAAATCTTGGGCCGTATCAATTATCTAAGAAAATAAGTGATATTTCAAGGATGATTTCTCGATTTTACCAATCATTAACTGTTAGCTTCAATTTAACCGATATCTAGTGATGCTTCCATAGCGACAGTGTCACAATTTACCAATATTTTCCATCTTGTCAAGGACACCTTATTTTGTTCCTTGTTATAACACCAAAAGAGCTCATTAATTGATTTGTTTTGATATTACAACATAAATTTTTTTTTGTTTCATTCAAAAACAGGGTCAATTGTACGATCTTAAAAAACTACTTTTAAATTGAATATAATCGATATTGCCCAAATAAAAAAGTGAAAAACTGTCCAATAGAAACACACTTTCACCGTTTCTCTAAGAAACTCCATTCTTGGTTGACATGCATGTTCGTTTCTTAATATTGAGAAACTGCTACTTGACTGTATAATCGAGGTAAGTACAGTAGATTTGAATTGTTGCATAACTTGATACAATATTATCAAAATATGTTTTATATTTGTTGATAAAGGTCAGGATGATACTGTATTGAGGTATAGTTAAATCGTCATAAGAGATCTTATATCTATAGATAGAAGTAGGATTATTCTGATTATCATAATCATAAACCACAAGGACATTTATATTTTCAGAAAGGACTTTATTTCCTGGTATCATGTACAAGTGTCTGGAGGTTCAGGTTCCCACCAAGCCACTGAAGCTGGTAGAAAAACCTATTCCAGTTCCACCGTCCAGAGGAATGGTCATCAAAGTAAGTTACAGGGAAGATTGGAAGTCGTTATTCAAACTCGATCCTCAATCGCATGGCGTAGATCAATTTGGTAACAATATTTCTCATATTTTGAAGACTAGAACTGCCAAGGAAGCTTGAATATAACCATTATATTCGTAATATTCCTCTTCCAACGAAATGCATGGTCCAAAAAGAACATTATAGAAATATTTTTACTGCATTGTTCCAAGCCAGGAAACGGATGATTGAGTTTAAATAATGGCCGAGTAAGTTCCATATTTTCTAGAATTCAGTTAACTTATTTTTCTTCATTTAGCAAAATCATACTAAGGACATTTACGCATTTAACAGGTGTACTAGCACGTGTTTTTAACTGATTTTCACAATTAAGAAATATATGTGTTATCAAATTTAAAAACACATATACATTTGCATGTGTTTATTACAACGATATTGCCTTCGATCTCGAATTTTAGATCATAACCTTCAAGGATTTGCGTTAATAAATGTTTTAATTTATATTTGTAGACTGGTGCAGCAGCCATATGCAACTCCGATATTCCCATAGCTGATAACTATTTGAACATGAGTGATACTTCGGAAGATAAATCAATCACTCAGTATGACCCAGACTTCAAATATCCTGTAGTATTGGGTAAGTTCCTCCAAGGACTTCAAATATCCTGTAGTATTGTGTAAGTTCCTTCAAGGACTTCAAATATCCTGTAGTATTGGGTAAATTCCTTCAAGGACTTCAAATATCCTGTAGTATTGGGTAAGTTCCTTCAAGGACTTCAAATATCCTGAAGTATTGTGTAAGTTCCTTCAAGGTCTTCAAATATCCTGTAGTATTGGGTAAGTTCCTTCAAGGACCTCAAATATCCTGTAGTATTGTGTAAGTTCCTCCAAGGTCTTCAAATATCCTGTAGTATTGGGTAAGTTCCTTTAAGGACTTCAAATATCCTGAAATATTGTGTAAGTTCCTCCAAGGTCTTCAAATATCCTGTAGTATTGGGTAAGTTCCCCTAAGGATTTCAAATATACTGTAGTATCGGGTAAGTTCCTTTAAGGGCGACCTTATCTATCATAAGTTGCAGGTTTATGGGAGTCAGACAAGCTTTAATGGAGATGGATGATCATTGTGTACCTCAATTCCACATAAATGCAAACCATTGTTTAATTATGAGCCATTCTCGCAACCATGCTAACAATGTAGTCGTATTCCAACTTGAGCGAGCAGTAACATACAAATATCAATTGCTAATTTGTAAAATCAATAGACAAAATGTGGTTGGAAAAATACTTCAAGTGACATTCTGATATGGCTGGCCATCTGGACCAAAGTTAAAAATTACTTTTGACGCCATTAAAAATTACTTTTTACGCCGTTAAAAATTATTTTTTACGCCGTTAAAAAATTTTTTTACGCCGTTAAAAATTACTTTTTACGCCGTTAAAAATTACTTTTTACGCCGTTAAAAATTATTTTTTACGCCGTTAAAAATTACTTTTTACGCCGTTAAAAATTATTTTTTACGCCGTTAAAACTTTTTTTACGCCGTTAAAAATTACTTTTTACCCCGTTAAAAATTACTTTTCACGCCGTTAAAAATTATTTTTTACGCCGTTAAAAATTATTTTTTACGCCGTTAAAAATTATTTTTTTACGCCGTCAAAACTGATTTTGTACGCCTTTCGAAATTGCGAACGTACAGAACATTGTTAATCATTTGCGAAAAAATATTTAAACAATGAAAACTCGATGTACAAAACTTGTATATCAAATTCCCGGTTGTTATATGATAGTTGTAGTCTTCCATACAACCAAATGCGTCTGGCAAATAAAATTCCAATATAATTGATAAATGTGACATGTACAGTAACAGAAAAATAGGGTTTTGGATTTATATCAATCAGTCGGTAAGGCGAACATACACGTTCGTTTGTTCAATGAATACCAGGTTGTAACGCTGGTTTTAATTGGCTACCAGCTATACTTTTTTTACGGCGATAAAAATTATTTTGACTTTTTACGCGTACATAATTATTTTTGACGCCGTAAAAAATCGGTTTTGACGGCGTAAAAAATCATTTTTAACGGCGTAAAAAGTAATTCATTACGGCGTATAAAATCGATTTTACGGCGTTAAAATTATTTTTGACGCCGTTCAAAATGACTTTTTACGCGTACATTATTATTTTTGACGCCGTAAAAAATCGGAGTACAAAATCGTTTTTAACGGCGTTTAAAGTAATTCTTTACGGCGTATAAAATCGTTTTTACGGCGTTAAAAGTATGACGATACATTGGTCCAGATGGCCAGCCATAATTCTGATACTCATCACATCTTTCTGTCTTCAACCAGAAATATGCTCTGATTTAGTTGCTTACAACTTGTGATCTGATATCAACAGATGGGAGGGGCACAATATTTTAAGTGTGATGGTTATCAAGTATTTATGGCCCTATGTTGACACATTACAAGTGTTACATAATATTGTATTGTCACTTTGTAAGTGTCTCAAGTGGTATGACCTCAATTAGGATAAGATAAGGATGTCCATCAAGATGTTCATAGTCTCTAAAATAATCTCATTGGTCAGTGGTCTCTATAATTGATTTGATTAGCCCTCAGCATTTTCAAGAAAACTGTACGGGCCTAGAGGTAGGCTCCAATTGTCTCATGGCATACTAGTGTGAAGCTAATAGAAGGTCATGATTTCTCATGATGGTGATAATGGTGTTCATCAGCAAGGTTTAAAAAAATAAGAGCTTCATGTGTGTTATGTTTTTCAGGTCACGAGGTTGCCGGGACAGTATATAGCATAGGAGAGGGACGGTGTCCAGGTAAACAAAAACATATACGAATATGAAACAATTAATTATAACCCAATCAAGATAAGCATGTCACATGCTGTATAGGATGCCACGTGGTACCATGTAAAATTACCCTATAAAAAAGTTCATTTTAAAGTTGAAATTTCAAATTACCCAGTGTAAACACTAATAAGGTATACTGTAGATACCACACTGTAAAAGGTTAGTAAAATGACCTATATAATTAATAAAATATTTATTTTCATGTTGATACCGATCGGTTTTACATTTCTAAAATTACCTATCATAAAGGGAATTTAACAGGTGCCTGTATTTTACAGTTTTAGCGTAGAACTTGGATTGACTGATTCTGTTAATTTTAAGAACTCCAAACAACTCAGAGTGCTTACAAATATGCCAGCAAAGTAACCATACTCTGACAAATATGTTCGATATATATATAATATATCTTTTTTACAATTCCATTATATAATGGAGGCCTTTGCGTAAATATAACATGGTCTATCTATAGGTGATCCAGTATCCAATATTTTTATTTGAATGAAAGAGACACATTAGATCTAACCCTGTACTTCACATAGTCATGATTTCATTAAAGGTGATCGAGTACCAGATCGAAAATTTTGACAGAGCTATTTGAGTAGTTTTTAGGGCAAGCTAATTTATATTTTTTAGGTAGTGACGAATTCAATGTAGGTGACCGTGTAGCAGTCTATACACTACAAGGCTGTCAAGAATGTAGAACATGTACTTCAGGAAATCATTTGCTGTGTCCAAAGAGAACCTCACAAACCTTGGGAAAGGGTAAAAATGGAGGGTAAGTTATATGGAGGGTAGACTAGACTAAACCAAGGGTAAACTAAATACATGTACAAGAAAGTTATAAGGATCCAAAATTTAATGAGGCAATAGGTGAGGCAAAACTTAACGCAGACTTTTTTCAAAATTATGCAAGTATTTCAAACATAGTAGTTTTTGAAATCATTTTCCAGCTATTACTCGCTCGCTTTATAACCCATGATAGAGTAATGCTATGCTGATAAATTCAATCATTCTTGCATGTTGACATTATATGCAAAGAGATTAAAAATGTTTCCACTAGAATAACCATTGAATAACCTTTAAAGTCCCTGATAAATCAGGCTACGTATACCGCCGTCTTTACATTAGGGGATTAGAAGAGTTTATTTTAATTTAGGTATGCAAGCTATAACAATATTAGGCCTTCATTCATGTACTCGTGTGCATGCAATCAGCATGCATGCCCTTCAATATTATGTAAACCAGGCTATTCAAGTACTACATAATGTACACTATTTATGTGTGTAAACTACATGGGAATACAATTCCCTGGGAAACAAAACACAAATACTTGCTATATGTTCCAAATGAGCCATTTGATTGATGCATACACTAAATAGCTTCATAAATAACATCTACAAAGTATATCTAATAGTAATTTTTAATTTCAATGGTGAAACTTACTTGGTTACAATTATACGGGGGATGAACACGGAACGAAGATTGTTCACCTTCCTGACTTACACTCTGTTAAGCATGATAAAAGGCAAGAAGTTTAGTTAGAAATAAAAGAGTTATCTCATGAATGGGACCCTTACATGGCTCCTAAAAGGTAGAAGACACTAAATGGTGTGACACTATAAGCTGAATTTTGTCCACATAGAGCATGTGCACAATACTAAAGACATGTAAAATTGAACTGTCAAAATAATAGAAATTACTCACCAGCTCGCCTCTACCGGAAGTTATGATACGTTATGGTGTAACTACGGTAATTAATTTTAAAATATTGAAAAAATCAACAACATTCAATTTCTAGGGTGTACAACCATTTTCGAGCGAATTTGCCGATATAATAACAATATTTTTTAGTTCCCCTAGGCTATATATAAACTTCATCAATACACAGTATATTCAACATAGGTTTTTGCTTCTCGATTTTTAAATATCACTATGCAAAGACAGGGACTCATTTTAGGTAAAATCATTGCTTCACCAATGAAAATTAAAGGGAACGTTAGCTCACAAAATAAATAAATCCATTACAATGTTAAGTATATGATTTGAAAGATTGTCTGGATTATATGTGTGATCGATTGATGCATAAACAAACATATTCATTTCAACTTGCAGACCTCCATTCTGGCTCATGTATAGGCCTAAGACGCCATATTGCCTTATGTATTGTACTGCCCATGCGTGCATATTTAATGCGTGACGTCACATCGACAGAGATCAGCGATCAAGTTTGACTAAAAAATTAAAAGATCCACACTTAACAGCACAAAAATGATATCAATGATCGCCTATTTCATATCAAATAAGTGTAGGATGTAAGGTTTAACATTTTTCATGTTATTTAGTATTTACAGAAGCAGAGCTTGTAAAGAAACCAAGTTTTAAATTCCGATTTTGACTGTTGACAAAAATAAAGAAAAGAGAGAAAGAGGCGACTTGTTAGAAGCAATGACATGAAATTGTGAATAAAAAAGATATTATTGTGGGTTTTATTTTTTGAGAGTCCATCAAATACACTCATGTGTATTAATTTAAATATGCATTGTAAAACCTCTCAGTTCTACCAAGCATTATAAAAACTGATCGAAATGGCTTCGTTTTTAAAGTATAAAAAACACTACCCTACCCGAAAGTAGTATAACATGTATATTGAAACCATGTGCAAACTGTAAATCACGTGAATTGGCTGATGCAATCAGGATGTGACTAGTACAAAGTAACTATGATGCAATCAGGATATGACTTGTGCAAAATAATTGGCTTCACCTAGAATTCGCGATCTTTGCTCTTTAGCATAATATGAAGACATGTTTTGTGTTTAAGTAGCTAGATTCAAATACAAACTAAATGAATATAACATAAACCAACCATCATTTGTTCCAATCATGGCGAATTTTCAAGGAAATACGTGTAACTGAATGTAAATCAACAGCGGAGCTCTTCAATTATGAGGTGAGAAAAATGTAAAAATAAAAACAAAAATAAATCTCACAGAATAGAGCTATTTATACGATTCTAAGTACATTTTAAGTGCTCCATACATTAATGTAAGTATAAAAGCCATTAACCTCAACTGGGAAGCACTTTCCAACTATTTTTACGGCTTGAATTGTAAGAAAATGGCACTTATCTCAAAAAATGGAAATTTGAAAGAAGCTCAATTTATTGTGAAGATGACGTTTATATATATCTGTATATGGGGGTGCGAATATATAGTCATAGTATGGGCTAATTCGCTTAAAAATGGCGATACATACCTCAGAACTTGTATTTTGTGATTTTTTCAATATTTTAAAATTAATTACCGTAGTTACACCATAACGTATCATAACTTCCGGAAGAGGCGAGCTGGTAAGTATATTTCAGTTCTTTTGACAGTTCAATTTTACATGTCTTTAGTATTGTGCACATGCTCTATGTGGACAAAATTCAGCTTATAGTGTTACATCATTTAGTGTCTTCTACCTTTTAGGAGCTATGTAAGGGTCCCATTCATGAGATAACTCTTTTATTTCTAACTAAACTTCTTGCCTTTTATCATGCTTAACAGAGTGTACCTCTGAAGCCTGTACCTGGTAATCTCTTTATATAGGTTAGCGAGAGTGGTGCGCCTGCACAGTTTTAAACTTTGGCGCAAACTTTAACGAGTTTTTCCAATCAATTAGTTATTAAATAAGGCTACTATTGAAAGAGAATTTGGCATTTAACAATTCATCTAAACTTTCAGATTGAAAAAAAAATTTTGACAATATTATCAATAAATCCCTCCCATTTTAACAAAAATAAAATGTTGACAGGTATCTGTTATCCATATAACGTTCAAACAGTGATGATACTGAGTGAAAAAAAAAACTGCCCATTATAAATCTTCATTCATTCTTAAATGTGCAGATTTGCAATGTATTTTAGGGATCTAATTCGTCCAGTACTGGTAAAATAATTCTCAGGTGGAATGACTTGCCAAGAAGATATAAATATATACAGAGTATCAAAATTATTATCACTGCCTTAGGAAATCAGCATACATGGTCTAGACGTAAATTTATATTATAGATATGCAGAATATGTGAGTGTCCCAAACAGGAAGTTTGTTTTCAAGTTACCAGATTCTATTGCCATGGATGCAGCATGTATGTTTTCGTGCAGTGCATTAACTGCTTACAATGCCGTGACTAGAACTAAACCTGCAATTGCCAATGCACTCAAAATGTTAGGTAAGATCGTCTCCTTCAGCGTCCATGGATAGATATGCATCTACACTTAAGTTAAAGTAAAGTTAAAAATCAACATTACCAAAACTGTCTAGCTTGAGAAAGACGAACCCAACAATTTTAAGAAGAAATCGAAGCCTCAAATATAGAAAGATTCTTTATCACTTTGAACTGCAACTTTTTCAGGTTCTGCTACGCTGTTGATTATAGGAGCAGGAGGATTAGGTCAATGGGCAATACAAATTGCTAGAGCTGTACTTCCAAGAGAGACTAAAATATTGGTTGCTGATATAACAGTAAGACACATTTTTAAGTGAAATAAAACTAAACTTAGTTTTGTGACTGAACCCCAGAGGAGGGTCAGGATTTATCACAAATGGTGTATTTCCCCAGAAAGCTATAATACACAAAATATAAGATATTTTGCCTACTTTCTGGGTGCTCTTTTCATTATTCAATGCCCTGCACATATTTGAAGAACCATGTGGTTTTCTTCGTTTTAAATCGATCTGATGTGACATTGTCATTAATGTAAATTGAAAATAACATGTCCAAAAGTGCACTAATTCAGAATTTATTGATCGACCACATGGGGGAGAGACTAGCAGTTGTAAAGGAGAGTGTTGATGTGACAGTCCAGTGGTCTACAGATGGTAAATAATTGATTTAAATAATTGTAAGTTGAAAATAACATGTCCAAAAGTGCACTAATGCAGAATTTATTTACCACATGGTGGGAGAGACTAGTAGTTGTAAAGGAGAGTGTTGGTGTGACAGTCCAGTGGTCTACAGATGGTAAATAATTGATTTAAATAATTGTAAGTTGAAAATAACATGTCCAAAAGTGCACTAATGCAGAATTTATTTACCACATGGGGGGAGAGACTAGCAGTTGTAAAGGAGAGTGTTGATATGACAGTCCAGTGGTCTACAGATGGTAAATAATTGATTTGAATAATTGTAAGTTGAAAATAACATGTCCAAAAGTGCATTAATGCAGAATTTATTTATCATATAGGAGGAGAGATTAGCAGTTGTAAAGGAGAGTGTTGATATGACAATCCGGTGGTCTGCAGATGGTAAATAATTATTCAAATGATATTGATTTAAACATTCATATTCAATAAAAATCAATTTGTATAAATGAACGGAGGAAACTACAGAGAGCAACAATAATTTAACAAACATAAACACATACTTTCAAAACCTGCAATAGCAAATTTTATAATGTTCCAACAAATTAGAAATTATGAAAAATCAATTTACAATTTTTACAATCTGTGACAGAAGCAGTTAAAATGGATTATTTACCTTTACAGAAGATGACATGACTTTCATGGAAAGGGTAGCAGAGGTGACCGGAAATGGTCCATTGGTAGAGGCATCCATAGATTTTGTAGGAGCTCCCGCAACTACGAAACGTGCTGTGTGGCTAGCAAATAAGGTGAGCGTGAGGCTGTCGCCAATCAGCTGAATGACAAGGACCTAGAAAATATCTGGTTGTGTTTGTGAAGCTCGATAAAGTGATAAATAATGTGATTGGTAAGGTATTGTACGATTGTATGTATCTGAAATTCGTCATTCCCCAGATGGTGATTTATAGTTTAGAATAATAATTCAGAAGTGTTTTCTAACAATCCAACGAGGAATACAATGATTAAAAATGATTTTAGGGCTCTACACATTGCATAGTTGGATTATTTGGAGGAGACACAACATTCCCAGTGCCATTTGTTCCATGTAAAATGATTGATATTCATGGGATATATCTAGGATCGACTCAGCAAATGCAGGAGGTTATACAACTTGCAGCAGAAGGAAAAGTAAGAGACATATCGAAATAGTGCTGCGAGTTTTTGTTTATCTTGAAGAGACCTTTTAAATGGACTATGGGTTGTAGACCAAAAAGACGGATTAGAGTTTTCTTCTTAATCTCGGACACATTTTTTGCTATGTAGCATAATTTTAATTTCTGTAAGAAGAGCGGTTATCCTGTATTGAGACTCATTAATAATATTTGATTTGATTTTAAAGTACAAGTAGTTCTTATTTGATTGAAAAAACGGTTAGAAATACCATATTTAAAGCTTGAAAATGTACTTGTATTAGATAAAGTTAAATTTTAACATTAAAAATCAAACAAGATAATTTTTTACAAATTTTCAGATGATATAACTCCTCCATGCTTTGGATAGACTTATTTCATACTTATCTATTTTCAGATAAGGCCTCCACCTCTGGAGCATGTTACACTAGACGGGGTAAATGATGCTTTGGATAAACTCAGAAAGGGGCAGATTAAAGGAAGGGCAATCATCACCTTTGATTAAAATTTCCCTCACAATGAAACAATGAAAACTCTCCTTGAAATATGCTGCAAAACTCAAAAATACTTAGTTTACATTTCATATACAGTGAGGAGCAAGTCTTATACAATATTACATTTCTATGTCAATTTTTCAATTTTCAATTTCAAGTTCAATTAATTACTATAAACAACAAAGATGATGTAGGGAGTTAGCAATTGAAGATGACAAATAGTCCAATTGAACTGTGCGGTGGAATTTTATTTTACTTAAACAACAATAATATAGTATGTCTTTTAAAGCAGATATGAAATGGTATTTTTGACCTCAAGGAATCAATAAATTTTTTTTGATAAATGTATTTGCATATGTTTTCTCATCAGTATTGTGAAAATTATTTCACTCTAACGATCGTTATAGCTGCTTAATAAGCAATATTCGAATAGGTTGTGACGTTATTGGCCCCCACGTGATCTCTCACTGGTCCCCACATGCCCCATTTTGGTCCATTAAATCATGACGTCATAATACCAAGATGTTTTGTTATTTGTTTACACAACAATCATATGGTTGCCGTGACGTCGTGATTACCAAGGAACCAATAAATTAAAACCATAAGGAGCAAGGATATCGGGATGCTATACGTATATGTATAGTAAAAATGAAAATTGCCACAGAAATTGCAGTCATTTTCCAAAACCTCTATGATATACAGCAATTACTTTAAAAACAACATCCAACACTTTACAATGTACAATAAATGTTTGATTATGACACATAATGGAAGACATAATGAAATGAAATCATTAATGAACTTTAATGGCAAATACATTGTGTATGACTATTGGTCTCTTGTTGAATATATGTCTCTTTTATTTGAAATCCCTATTTCTAGTTATTTTGACGAATTGCAACAACATATATCCCAAAGAACTACGTTACACGTCATGGGCATGTTTTCCAGACGGCTGTAAGCTATTGTATATATGTTTCTGTGGCTGTGTTCATGGTTATTAGATTAAAAATTAGCTACGAATTGAAGAAAGTTTAAAACATTTGGAGGCGGTTAAGGGTACATTGGCAATATTTTCATGTTTCAACCGAAATATACAGTTATAGTAATGTAAGTCTCAATTACACATTGAGATTAAAATGTACAATTTACAGACACAGAAAAATCAGTCCATATTAATCATTGTTCTTTTGATATGTACTCGTAGGCCCATTCATCTTTAAACATGTTTAAGTAAGAACTTAAATGTTAACATAATGCTGTTAAGTTGAATAACACTGATGTAGCATACGTTTGTAAACAATGCTAGACATTACATAGAGGATAAGTATCGTGATTAATGAGCACCAGCCTGATAACCTACTTCAGTTTTTCATTTATGCCTAGTAGGGGGTTAACACTGTTATTTACGCATATTAGCCAAGTCTTATCATATTCTGTTAATGCTTTTAATGCTACAAGCACCAAAATCGGTACAAATGTAGATGGAGGTAATTGGGAGATATGGTAGCAAGCCATCCAGAGCTTAGTTTTCAAAAGAATCCAATATGGCCGCCAGTTTGTGGAGATTTTTAAGAATTTTAGATAACCTCTGCATTAACATGGTGTTTTAACTTTAAAGCAAAAATACATCCACGTGAGAGCAGTGCAAAGAGTTACTTTCCAATATTACTAGAACGGGTGTTTAACAAGGCTCTGCATTAGGCCCTGTATCATTTTAAAAGCATTGACTGAATGTGCTCATCATTATTTATTTAAAAAAGAGAGTCACATATTTGATTGATAATGAATGCGAATCCATCAAACTCCAAAACATCCTGCAGAAATATATTGCTAGATACTTAAAATAAAAATATCTGTTACTTCACAAGGTAAGGTCAACTTCTAGGTTGCAGACAATTGAATTACACCACAAAGTGAAGAAATAAGCAAATGGACTAAGAGGTGTAGCGCTGAATAGTCTCAGCAGTGCAATAAATAGTGTGACTTGTGTTGGAAAGCATTGATCTTCCTCATAGAGGAGCATATTAAGTCTATTCGGCTGTTTGCAAAATATTTTCTATCAAACTCATGTTTACACAGTCAATTTCGTCGCTGACTATTTTTGAAGCATGAGTAAATTATTTCCGCATTTTTACCACCACTCTGTAAGATTTGTCATTTTGAATAAACATCAGTTAAGAAATAGGTATAGAAACCAGCCATAATTTGTAGCTTTAGTAATTATTTCCGCATTTTTACCATCACTCTGTTTTGTCACTAAATGTACTTTATAAGATTTGGCATTTTAAAAAGTACTGGATGAGAATTAGTTGAGAATGGTGATGACTTGGCTATCATTTTTAAAATTATTCTTGACGTGTATTGTAATGACTCCATTATGAATGAAATATCCCTCTCGAAATATGATATTGGCAATTATTCGATGGGCACACCAACCTTTTTTTCAGGGGCCTTTTTACAGAGACAGAGACCACACTTCATATTTTTGAATAAGTGTTACATAAAAATCTGAAAATGTACATCAAATTAAATTAATTACATAATGTACAAAGGTTTAAAGTATAAAAAAGAGATTCAACATAGTTCATCCTCCTAAGCAGGTGTCCAGAATCCGTACCTCCTTCTTCCCCCTGCTATAAGCAGTTAGCATTTCCCCGATTAAGAACTCGCAATTTGATTGGCTGTCGCAACACTGCGACTGCAATCATGTATACGTCATCGGTGCATAATTAGATCACGTGATTCAGTTTAATCGGGCGCGTCCAACTTGGTTATAGCAGGGGGTAAAAAGAAAGAAGATATTCTGGATTTTGAAGCCCTGTGATCGGAGGATGACATAGTTGGGAAGCAAGGAACGAGAGGTATTCGAAATCCACTGGAGGAATAAAGGATTCGGAAATTCAAGTTACGTACTGTTATAAATGAACATACAAGAGAGCTTTCGATATAAGTTAATTGGAATACGTGTACGTAAACCTGTACTTACTTACAACAAGTCAGGTAAAACACCGGGGTGGAACTCTGAAAACGAAGAAAGGATGATTTCATCCTTCAAATCCCAACAAAATATTCGACAAGCAGGGTGAGCCAAAAAGGTAACCCAAACAAATGCATGTTAATAACTCAGTCATTCAGCATGGGTTTAAAATCATATTTGACACAATTAAATCTTGTTCAATGTTCTTTCATTCAACAAAGTGTCATTGATCTATCCCTAGTCATGATTTTATGGTCATTTACAAAACATGGCCAAAATGACGAAATGTGCCTCACTGACGATTGGGCCTATTTTCTACACTAACAACCCTTGAAACATTAAAATAAGAGATGAAGAAAGTTGAGCCATAACAGAAGATGTATTTTCTCATGTTGTGAACAACTACATCCGATACCTTCAAGTTGGCCTCCAGACATGACGCCCATAGTTTATGGCATGTTTTGTAAAGTGGCCATAAAATTGTTACCACTAGGAATAGACCACTGGAACTCAGAAGAATGACAATATATTGGACAATGCCTAATTGTGCCAAATATGACACTAAAACCATGCAAGGTGACTGGTTTGTTATGATTTTTCTAGGTTACCTTTTTGGCTCACCCTGTATGTAGTTCCTGAGTTCCGGTGTGAAAGAAACTATGGTCCCCTGGGGATTATAGTCCCCTTTCGTCACGGCCTTTACTGGCCCTGACTGTGTATAAATAATAAGGAAAATAATTGAAATTAGGTCACCATATAAATCAATAGAGAGTAGGACCAAAATTTGATTTTTCTTTCATACTACTAAGGTGTTTTGGTCTTATTCAAATGGTCCCGATTTTAGCCATTTTACAAAACTTTAGAGGCAAATTTGAATGCATCAGGTGAAGTTATTCTGACTACACGCTCACAGATATCTTAAGTAACGGCTAACATCTTTCTTCTAAACTCTTGTTTCTACTTACCAGAAGATAGCTGGGGGTCCATAATGAATGATACATGAATTTAAACCAAATTCTGGATAGCTGATTTATTATCGTTTGTTATCGCTTTTGACTTACCCTGTAGAAATACTCCCCAGGGACTTAAGATAAGTTATTAGAGTATTCTTCATATATAAACAAATACAGCCTCAAATGATTTAGATCTCGCATCATACTTTCACTGTACCACATGCAATTAATCTCGACATTTTTACTAGATCGGTATATATTTATAGTGATCGTGTAACATGGAATATACAATTAACAAACACACGATGATACTAAAACTTTCTTTCAAAGTTCATGAATTTGCAATCCTTGAAATGCAGAATATACAGCATTCGTTGTTAAACACACGGGTGTTTCTATTTTGTTGAAACCAATAATAATGAGTAACTTTGAGTAAATGTTTATACAGTAGTACAGGGCTTAATACCGAACCTTGCTGATCATCCATTTTGGTAGAACAATAATGGCAAGTACTCACTGTGCCACCTGTTACTCTCTTCATGCGAATATAATTGCTTTAGAATTACAATACATTGTCGATACAAATATTATACCAAAATGTCTTAAAAATCTCCATATACTGGCGGTCATCTATGATTCTCCGGATCAATTGCTACCTTGCGTCATATATTTTCAACTGCCTTTAGCTACACTTGTACCAGATTTGGTGCTTATACCAAAAAACAATTATCGGGGAATTTTTTCAAGTGATCCCGTATAACTTTTTCAAGTGATTCAGCAAGAACTGAAGAAGTATATGTAAACAGCATCTGCATAGATAGAAGAGTAGCAGGCTGGTAACATGTACAAGTGTTTGGAGGTCCAGGTTCCTGCCGAGCCACCAAAGCTGGTAGAGAAACCGATTCCAGCCCCACCCGCCAAGGGACTGGTTATTAAAGTAAGTTGCTGTTTATTAAATAACTTAACTTAATGTATTAAGATAATAATATTAACTAGTATCCTGTGCAATTAGCAGGTACCTACCATGCCACGCCTTCTTGTCCTTAAAAGGTACATTATGTATATATCTATCAGATTTATTTTCATTTTCTGGCAAACAAAATACTATGTGTTGTTAGCTCACATGGTGAGCTTTTGCAATCGCTCACTTGTCCGTCTGTCTGTCTGTCTGTCTGTCCGTCAACAATAGTGGCACGTTTTAAAACCTCTGTCGATAGGATTCCTGTTTTAAGTTATTTCTGCTCAACATCAATACAGAAAACTCCCCTATGACTCCTGGTTCAAAAGCTCGCCTATTTTCAAAATGGCCGCCATTTTTGTCTCGCGAAATTCACTTTTGACTGGCACGTTTTAAAACCTCTGTCGATAGGATTCCTGTTTTAAGTTATTTCTGTTCAACATCAATACAGAAAACTCCCCTATGACTCCTGGTTCAAAAGCTCGCCTATTTTCAAAATGGCCACCATTTTTGTCTCGCGAAATTCACTTTTGACCCATTTCCTAGCTTTACAAATAATTTCAGGTGTCCTACATTGTAAAAATCTGTGTCATTGTAAAGAGTAGATATATGAACTAATTTTGTTACAAAAAATCAGCGAAACATTATATCTATTTTTTTATTTTCAGCCATTTTAGTTAACATTGATTTGTCCATCTGACTTGTGAAATCCACTTTTCCGTCAACAACAGTGGCACGTTTTAAAACCTCTGTCGATAGGATTCCTGTTTTAAGTTATTTCTGTTCAACATCAATACAGAAAGCTCCCCTATGACTCCTGGCTCAAAAGCTCGCCTATTTTCAAAATGGCCACCATTTTTGTCTCGCGAAATTCACTTTTGACCTATTTCCTAGCTTTACAAATAATTTCAAGTGTCCTACATTGTTAAAATCCATGTCAATGTAAAGAGTAGATGTATGAAATAATTTTGTTACGAAAAATCAGCAAAAAATTATATCCATTTTTTTTATTTTCAGCCATTTTAGTTAACATTGATTTGTCCATCTGTCTCCCAAAATCCACTTTTGGACCATTTGCCTTAAACCCTCTGTCGATAGGATTCCTGTTTTAAGTTAATTTTGTTCAACATCAATACAAAAAAACTCTCCTATGACTCTTGGTTCAAAAGCTCGCCTATTTTCAAAATGGTCACCATTCTTGTCTCGCGAAATTCACTTTTGGCCCATTTCCTAGCTTTACAGATAATTTCAGCTGTCCTGCATTGTAAAAAGCCATGTCACTGTAAAGAATAGTTGTATGAAATAATTTTGATACAAAAAATCGGCAAAATATTAAATCAGTTTTTTTTTTCAGCCATTTTAGTTAACATTGATTCGTCCATCTGTCTCTCAGTCAGTCCAAAAAAGTGGCAAGTTTTAAACCTCTGTCAACACTTTTTAAATCCTCTGAAGATAGGATTCCCGATTTAAAATAATTTTGTTCAACATCAATAAAGAAAAAAAACCTGTGACTCCTGCTTCAAAATCTCGCCTAATTTCAAAATGGCCACCATTTTTGTCTCGGGAAATTCACTTTTGGCCCATTTCCTAGCTTTACAAATAAGTTCAGGTGTCCTGCATTGTAAAAAGCCATGTCTTTGTAAAGAGTAGTTGTATGAAATAATTTTGTCACAAAAAATCTGCAAAAAATTATACCCGTCTTTTTTATTTTCACTTTTGAGCAACACCATGTGAGCCCAGTACCCACGGTACTAATTTTTTTTATTGAAATGGCAAAAATACACCGAAAGTCTCTCCTATATTACTTTCGACCTCATTTGACCTACTTTTTGAAAAATTTAATTCTACTTCCTCGAGAGTTTTGAATGATCTATAATATGGTACATGTACCTTAGATTTTACTGCATCCCTTTTGGAAATGCCTACCCCGCCCATGGAAAAATACGTTGCCAGCATTAGGGTCAAATAACCTAACAAGTTAAAGTTCTTACTTGAATTTTCCAACAATAAGAAATTGTTACTGAACATGTAATAATAGGTTAATCACTGAACATACGTTTTTTTATTATACAGACCGGGGCAGCCGGAATGTGCCACTCTGATATAGCAATAGGTGATGACTATTTAAAGTTAGGTGATTCCATAGAGGATAACTCACTAAGTCAGTTTGACTCTGGCTTTAAATGCCCAACAGTTATGGGTAAGTGGGTCATTCACTTTCTCAACTAGAACTAATATTTTGCACTTATATATTCGTAGATTTTCTGGACTGTCAACATCTTGAACAAATATGAAAGCACGATGTTGATGATGAATATCCAAGATCCAGCAATATTTCAAATGTTATACATTTTAAGCTAAAAGAATTTATATTAAATTCTATTTTAGGTCACGAGATTGCTGGGACAGTATATAGCATTGGAAAGGAACAATGTGCAGGTAAATAAAACAACATATGAACAAATATGTGTTCTCTATTTTGTTTTTCTGAACAAAATGCAGTACATATCCAGAAATGAATACAGAAAGTCAGACATTGGCTTATCTTCTAATTGCCCCATTTTTGAGATTGCTTATCATCGCTAGCATCGTTACCCGTGAAACTAATACTCCTCTCCTACCATTCACTATTAGAGATTTTACATTTTGGCATGCCAACCTAAGGTCCTTACCATGGCATGGGTGCACTAAGGTCCTATCACTTTTGGAAGAGTTTATTTTCATTCAAAAGGTAGTATAGGAGTCGATATATTTTATAAGCACAACATTTGAATACACACTCAGTGGAGTCAGTTACTTGAATAAAACCTAGACATTGCAAATCTATATAGTAATGTATAAGTATAGTATATAATTTATCAATTGTGCAAAAGACGCCATGCAGAACAGTTCTAGTGATAAAGACAATCTTCCCATTACAAACCAAAGGCTTTACCAAAATGCCCAAAAAATCACTATTGATTTTTCTATTATTGCAGACATTTATGGTTAGTTTATTGACTAAATTTCACAAACAGGCACAATTCTAAAAAATCTTACTTGGAAATACAAATTAAGGTGCTATGGAAGTTAACAGGAAATGACAAAACAAAAAATGTCAAAACCATGCTGGATTTTGAAAATTTTTTGAATCAAGATAACAGAGTTCTGTTTGGACCTCCAGTCAGTTTAATTAGTTCCACATATCATTTACATGACTGGGAACACAAGGAAAATGGTCAGAATGACCATAAACATGATGAAATAACATTTTCAGCCCTGAAAATGTGACTGAAAAATAGCTAAGAGTAGGTCCTCAGGAAAGGTCACTGAAGAGAATCTTTTGACTTTTTCAGAAAATGTGCCCAATATATTACTCTAAATGATACAATTTAAAAAAAATTCATATCATTCTGAGAAAAAGAAAAAAAAGAAAAAAAACTGAATTTAAAATCGATCTATTTTCCTTTTAACTACAGCAATTATTGTTTCAGACAATTTTTTAAAATTTCAAAGATTGTATCATTTAGAGCAATATATTAGACACATTTTCTGAAAAAATCAAGAGATTCTGTTCATTGACCTTTCCTGAGCACCTACCTTTAGCTATTTTCAGTCACATTTTCAGAGGGCTGAAAAGGTTATTTCATCATGTTTATGGTCATTCTGACCATTTTCCTTGTGTTCCCGGTCATGTAAATATATTGAACTAGTTAAACTGACTGTAGGTCCAAACAGAACTCTGTTATCTTGGTTCAAAAATTTCAGAATCCAGCATGGTTTTGACATTTTTTGTTTTGTCATTTCTGTTAACTTACATAGCACCTTAAATTAAAAAAATTAAAATGTGTTGCATGAAACACATTGATTAATTTTTTCATACAAACTGGAGAAAGTATATAATCTGGGTTCTCCGCTTGTACTTTGTTCTTTCTTCTTCTTCTTCTTCTTGTACTTTCTCCTGCATGTATGAACAAATATTTTGTGTCCATTCTCCAACATGCATAAGCCAGTAAGCAAATGATTTGTACTTTCTCCATTGTGCATGAACCAAAACGTTGTTCATTTTCTTCCGTGTTTTCAATATTTTGTTAATTAATCAATGTGTCAGAACGAATAAAATGTACCTAAACCAGTGAGTATGAACGAATTTAATGTACTACAATATCTATAATGTGTATGAAGAGACATTACGCTCTTTCTCCAGTATGGACATGTATATGAACCAACACGCCTGTGTATATACTTTCTCCAGTATGTATGAACAAATATCATGTACTCCATTGTTTATGAACACATATTTTGTATGAACAAATACTATGTACTTTCTCCATTGTGTATGAACGTACAGAGTATTGGTTAAATAACTAGTGAAAGTACATAATATTTGCTCATACACACTGGAGAAAGTACATGATATTTGTCAATACACACAGTTAAAATTTATTGTTTCATATATACACTGGAAAAATATAAATAGTAGTCCATACACACATACACGGAAAGTAAATAAAACAATAAAATATTGGTTTAGGCACATGGGAAATTAACCTAGTTTCGATTCATACATACTGGAGAAAGTATACATAGAGGAGTGTGACTCAGAAAATGTGACACAAAAACAGTTAAAAGTTGGACTTTTAGAAAGGTCGCCAGACAGAATCTATTGCATTTTTGAGAAAGTGTGCCAAATATATTATTTGAAATTATAGAAGCTTTTGAAAATTTGAATTCATTCCTAAAAATAGAAAAAATGAGAAAACTGCTTTAGAAAGCAATCCATTCTCTTTTTATGATCACAATTTTTGTTTCAGACAACTTTTCAAAATTTCAAAGGTCCTATGACATGTATGATTTATAGTAATATATTGGGCACATTTTCTGAGAAGTCTTTCACATGATGTTTAGGGTCATTCATTCATACAAGCTAGAGAGAGTATGAGAATATTGATTAATCCAATCTGAGTAATATGATAGATAGTTGGTTCCTCAAAAAGAGAGGTTTACTTAGATTTTGAATATCAAATAGATTTGGATCAAGTGTTATAAAGAATCTGATCTTCTTAACTTACTTAACTTCGAGCATGCAGATAAATATTCAATGGATTTACATAAAATGCAGAGTTCCTGTGACAATGGCATTTATTTTTAATGATCAAGAAAGTACTTTGCACCCTCCCGCCAAGTTAGGAAGAAGCCAGAGCTTTCATTCTGGTACACATCGCATCTAGAAACATGTCTGTGTCTATCAAATAAGAAGAGAGGGTCAAGGTATTCCATGATGGAGCATTTTGGAAACCCTTCTTAGAAATTGCTATGCTGAAAATGGGCTATTGGTATACACTGTGTACAAGTAATGCAGATTGCTCCGATTTTCACTACGGTGCCATGCCGATTGAGTATTTTGTTCAAAATTGAATACAATATTGAACAAACGGAGCAAATGTGACCCAGGCATCAGTGTAGTATGAATTTATTTTGTTAGGATGCCAGTCAGAGCTCTTGATGCAAGTACTAAGTTTGCAAACATGCATGTCAACCATGGCCAATTAGAAAAGTGCACCCCTTCTATATGATAATATAAACCCTTCCTACACCTTGATTTAGCTTTGGATCACTATGCTATCACTATGTGGCGGAAATGCATTCTGATTGGATATAAATGATCACATGACTTAGTTCACCAAGGTATCAGGAGATGGCATGCCAAAATGTAAAATCTCTATTAGGGCCTGCTACTCTGAGTACAGAGTATTGTATTACAGCATGCTAGCAGCATAGAGGCTGGATGATTTTGAGGTTATACATAGTGGCACTGTAACTCAATAACTTGTGTCCCTGATTCTGAATAAATGTAATAAAGAATGCCTATAGTTTAAGTTAAGTTTTACATGAGACCTAATTCTATCACAGTAACTTCCTTCACATGTTCGATCGCCAGTAAACATTCACACAAAATGACAGAATTTGGGAAAAGAAAAAGGAAAGCTCCAGAAATGTATAGGGATTGGAAGGTCATGGGCTAACAGTGCAAGATCTTAACGTTTTGTATTTTACTTTATAGCTAGAATAATGGGTGCATTTGACTTTTTAACCAAAATTGATGTTTGATGCACTAAAAAGTTTTACTAAATGCTTTAGTTGTTTTTACGATTTATATAATAAATTCATAATGCACAAAAATCCCGGACCAAAATCAGCTGTTCTTCAGTCTGGTTTGTTTTGGTACACTTTGTATCTTAATGTACTTAGTCTACTAAATTGATTTCAAGAACTGGTATACGTGAGATTTAATGCAGGATATTTCATACAGACTATAAACTACCACCTTTGATTAAAGTGTTATGCTGATTTGCGCATTCCCTCACTTTCTTCAAGAAATAGAGAATAATTTCAAAATTACATGATGAGAAACACACTCGGACATGTGCCACAACATAGTATATATTCAGTCTTATTTATAATATATTTCACTCTGGAATTACGCACAATGATGGCTGTATTTTATTTACAAGTAGGCTACATCTTGTTAGAGGTGAAAACATAGCATCAAGTTTCAATAGAGCAGCTTGGAGCACTTCTCATCCGTTGTGTTGACAGCTCTCCTACTACATTAGTCTATTACTGATAGAGAAAGTGGCCGCTCATTTCTGGATTTGACTTCGGTCCGTTACATTGCTTAAAAATAACTAGTTGAACCTAAAAATCAAAAATCTAGAGACTATTGTGAAATAATATATAGAAAAAATATTCGTATTGCTCACGAATGACATTTCTTTTTCTTAGTTTGCCTGTGAATTGGCTTAGAAAGTCTGTAACCTCTTATATTTTGATGCAATATTATTGCACAATAGTCTTAAGATTTCTTATATTTTAGGCTGAGCTGGTTGTTTTGAAGTCACAAACTTTGTCTCACGATATACCTTTTGTTCTTCAGATAGTGACACTTTCAAAGTCGGCGATCGTGTGGTGATCTATGCATTTCCAGGATGTCAAGATTGTCCGTTCTGCGCGGCAGGTAACCAACTGATGTGTCCAAAGCTAAATCCAAATAGTTTGGGGATAGGTAAAGACGGAGGGTAAGTATAGATCATTACCATTACTTGTTGGGTAATGAACACTCATAGGAAGTCATTTCTACATTCATTCTTAACAGCTTTTATTTTTATAGACGTTTAGATACAAATCGATAATAATGATACTTTCATCTATTTGTAACCATGTATATAATGGCGTCATGGTCAGAGAACAATGGAGACTGGTTAATGGCAATATACAAAGCAGGTGTAAAAGGGTAGGTGGTCCTATCAAATTTTGGTCCGACTCTCTATTGATTTATGTGGCGACCTAATTACAATTATTCTCCTTATTATTTAAACACAGTCGGGGCAAGAAAGGGCCGCAAGGAAAGGGGACCAAAATTTCTTTCACACCGGCTTTGAGAAGCTGCAGTATGAAGCTGGCTTCTGAAAACTGGCTTTTAGCTGCCAGTTCACACTAACATACTAGCATGATTGTATGACCTTTAAAGAGACTCTATTGAGACTTCTCTGTGGCATTTTTTCTTTATTCCTTTTTGTTTTGAATTTTTAACACCATAACATTAACTAACTACTCAATATGCAACTTTTCACCACGTAGAATTTTAAAATATTAAGTTTGAAAATTCCATTTTTATAATGGAGCTCAATGGGAAAAACTACATAATTTGAATTATATTCAAACGTAAGGGCGCGATTTTGATAAAATTGACAGATATAATAAATATTGGTAAGACGAAATGTTTGATGAAAAATGAAGAAAATTCACCGTTCTGGTTACGCAAACTATAGAAAAATCTGAAATAATCATAAAAACCTGTAAAAATAGATTGAAGGGGGTGATATTCATTTCTAATGTGCCTTTCACTACTACAGGGTAACCATAATTTTGGTACTGATTTGATTTTTCAATGAAAATCATTTCTATAGTGTATAGTCAGTTTAAATAATACAATTGCTATATTTCTTTACTGAACAGTGCAATCATTTATTTATTTATCAGCAGTAATGCAAACTACATATTAAACAGTTAGTAAAATATTAAAATAATTCTATTAAAATTAAAGCATTGAGATGATACTTAAATAATTACATATTATATTGATAGACATATTATATTATAAGATTTAAGTCAATGACTCAATGCATTGTAGATGATTAAATTTAACATATGTCCTGATTCTTGACTATGAACGAGGGTGGTAGTCCGAATTCAAAGCCTAGACTAGAAGACATAAGTGAATTGAAGCATCCATTATTCATTGAATCATGTGCTTTAATTCAATTTCACACATTGCAAAATCTTTTTTACAATTTCACTTAACAGAATGATATTTTTTCAAAGATATGTTGTACTTTTAGAATCATTTGCTTCAAAGAATTGAACTATAGCGGCCTTTACTCGTTATTTTACGATTTCTGCTGTAACTCGAAAAGTAGTCGAGCGATTTTGTTCATATTTGGTATATGAATACTATAAGCATGGCACACTGTGTAATGACTCTTCTGGTAGAAGGCGGCCATTTGAACGTATTTTACTAAAACACGAAAAGTAGTGGAGCGATTTTGTTCATATTTGGTATGTGAATACTATAAGCATTGCACACTGTCTAATGACACTTTTGGTAGAAGGCAGCCATTTTGAAAAATGGCCGTCATGTTAACGTATTTTACTATAACTCGAAAAGTAGTAGAGCGATTTTGTTCATATTTGATGCGTGAATACTATAAGCGTGGCACACTGTCTAATGACACTTTTGGTATAAGGTGGCCATTTTGAAAAATGGCTGCCATTTTTGCTGTATACTTTGTTTGTAAAAAAAATGCCAGCCATGGCTGTTCGATGGGATTTGCTACACTTTGGTGTTGCTGTTGTCTAGTTGAAGGATGGATGGACGGACAAATATCTCTATAGCGTATCCCCTAATCTTCGTTGGATTGAACAATTGTGAATATGGTTTGTTGGACAAATAAAACTGATTGAATGTCTAAAAGCAAATAATGAAGTGGTAATTACTAATTTATTTAACATCATTAAAATTTCAAACATGCTTGCTTTGGTCTAGTCACTTAATTCCTAAATGTCCCGTAATTAGTTTCTATATACCTTATTAGATGCAGTGAAGGAGTTAAATCATTGGGATATGAATAAATCATGCAAAACATATTTTGTACATATTTCTCATCATTTAGGGTTACCCAGTAGTTTACAAGCTGACCTTTGCAAAATATATTTCACTTACTATCCTCATTCGCTATCACGCTATCTAGTTTCTTTCCAAATTGTCCTGAATTGCCTGGTTTATTGGTTTGAGCGAACCGTCCATTTCGTCGAACCATCATTTTGCTAAGGTTGTTTGTGATGAATATACAATATTCAGTTACATATAACTGTACAGCAACTTTATGCAAGGGAAGGTAATTGTGTGAGAGCACATAACGTACACGAAGTATTGACCCACTTGTCTCAGTGAATCTTATAAACAGTGCATAAAGTTTTTTCTATGCAATGATTGGCTCACAGTTACTTATAGTGTAAGTTATTTTATTTCTATACAGTGTGGAATAGAGTGTATAAACTTTTACAGTTTCAAGCAGGTTTTAGTGTTTTCTGACCAATGATATATTCAGACTTATTCATTTCACGATTATGTAATTCTGACCTACATATCTGTATAGCATATCTTTAATGATAAATGAGAAGGTTAGGCTAACCCCTTCCGTTTAGATGTGAGAAACATCACGTAGACAAACATTCCTCCTTAGTTAGCGCTAATTTATTTGGCGATTATTGGGATTTATGTATCGGACATATTGGCGTCTATTTAATTCGGCGCTTTTCAAAGGGATACATTTCAAATCTGTATCTAGCATTTGCCCTCTGTTAAGATCGAGTTTGATTCTTGTTGATAAACAATTGAAAATGATCTAAATGAACCAGTTTAAGCGCCCTCGGCCATCTTATAATCAGAATTAGAAGTTCACCGAACGAAAAAGAAGTCGATCCCCCGGGCATTTTGGCGACTAATTCATTTAGCAATTTTTGATTCGTCAAATTAAAACACTCGAAAAATTAAAGACAAATAGTAGTAGGTGGGTTAACTACATTTCGACTTCACTTTATGATGCAAATGTCCCCTTTGGCATGGGAGGACCGTAGAGCAATAGAACTAATTATCTCCAAAGACACAAGCTAGATGGCGCTTTATATTGGAAATAAACGCATTTTAAAAATGGCCACCAAAAAACAACAACACAGACTTAATCTTTGCTTGTATGCATGCTATAAGGATAAGATTGGTGCCTAAATCTTCATTTTCGTGGGTGTAGAATCCATTTAATTTCGAGTCTTAAAAATTAAGAACTACCACTTTTTATTCAAAATATGTGGCTTTTTCCAAAATGGCTTCCGGAAATATAACAAAGATGGTATTCTCACTTCTATGCATGCTACAAACGTGAGATTGGTGTCAAAGTATTGGAACAATGGATCACTTAACTTAATCATCACCATAACTTTCCCTGGAAATCAGCGTAAATGGTCTACTCATATGTTTATATTGTAGATATGCAGAATATGTGAGCGTCCCAAACAGGAAGTTTGTTTTCAAACTACCAGATTCTATTACCATGGATATAGCATGTTTGATTTCGTGCAGTGCATTAACTGCCTACAATTCCGTCAGTAAGACTAAACCTGCTATTGAAAATGCTCTCAAAATGACAGGTAAGATCCTCCCTTAAATGTTTATAGATAATATGTATCTAAACTTTATTTGTTAAAGTAAATCTAAATTTAAAAACAATTTAAAGTTCAAATTCAACTTGCAAAATAGTATGGCCTCAAATATTGAAAAAATATAATGGTTGCTAATATCACATTAAGTCTATTTCACTCTGCACTGCAACTTTTTCAGGTTCTGCAACACTTTTGATCATAGGAGCAGGAGGGGTAGGTCAATGGGCAATTCAGATTGCAAAGGTTGTACTTCCCAAGGAGGCTAAAGTTTTGGTAGCTGATATAACAGTAAGACTATTCAAAATAGTCTTGAGTATATAATCCGGTGTAAGCCAATCAAAACAGTACAAATATACATGTGATCCAAATCTTCGAAACCTCGAAAATGACATTTTGTGTAGAAAAATAATTAACATTCATCAACCTATCTCTGATTTTCCTTTTTTCATCGAATTCAACTATGGTCAACTCTCGACCAATTAGATTATGTATTTCACTATTAAACACTAAGTTCAATGAACTCCACATATATGCATCATTAATTGATATAGATGAATCCAATTCATTCATTATTCGACAACACTCTTAGTTTCTAATTTCTTACATAATACAATTTTTCATGCAGGATGAGAGATTAGCAGTTGTAAAGGAGAAAGCTGATATGACAGTTCAATGGTCTAACGATGGTAAATATAATACAATAATAGTCACTATATACAGCATTTATCCTAAATAAAATGAAGAAAAGTTTCCATTTATCTACCTACTAGTATAACTAGTGATATTTAAAGAAACATAGTATGTAAGCAGAAAAATCACAAATTAGAAAAATACTTTATCATAAAGTAACGAATCTCCAACAACCTACAATAATACAATAGTCTAAATTTAAAAGAAACTGTGTATTACCTCCCCTCAATTCTGAAACCATTATTACCACTGATATATACTAGCCTACATTATTTATATATTGCAATTCATCAGACAAGAAGACCGACACGCTAGTATCAAAAATAGTCAAAGATGCTGGGTCAGCACTCAGACAAGATCGAGCATTCAATATTAAACCATGAATTCACTTCAATAATAGTTTACAGAAAATGCCATTTGCAGAAGATGACATGTCTTTCATGGCTAAAGTTACTGAGGTGACTGGAAGGTCAGCAGTTGAGGCCTCTATAGACTTTGTAGGAACACCCGCTACTATGAAACGTGCCGTGTGGTTAGCAAACAAGGTGTGTATAAACGTCTACGTACGTCTTCAATAAAAACCGATTCATTTATTGAAGAATTAAGTTGGAAATGTGCATAGATTACGGGCAACACTGCCCAAATGTCGAGGAAATACCATTACATTGTTTTCGTATTGTTTCTATTATTTTTGCTAGTTCGTTTCAGTTTGAAGCAATACTAAGGTTTGCTTCGATATTTTTCAGGGTTCCACACTTTGCACAATTGGATTATTTGGGGGAGCTGCAACATTTCCAATAGCATTTATACCAATGAAGCAATTAAATATCCAAGGGAATTATCTAGGATCCACCCAGCAAATACAAGAAGTTATAAAACTGGTAGCAGAGAACAAAGTAAGGAAAGCACATAGTTCTCGAGAGGAATTGAAAGTCTGATTAGTATTTCATTTTCGTAAAAATACAATCCTGTATAAGTAGTAATTTTGCCTCATCATTTAATTTGCCTATTGCCTAATTTTTGCCAGATTCAGAAAATTAAATGTCAGAAATATTATCTTCACAATATTATTCGATGGGAAAATCCTTGTCATTAGGAAAATTTAAATTAAACAGGATCTTAAGAGGTTCTGGACAAATCATTTGATTCTGGACTTGTCATATTTTTTTTTCAACGAAATCACATCCAAGGGTTGAATTTTTATTAGCTATTTAGAGAGTGAGTCCTGCCTAGTATTAATTTCAATACAAAAGTTAAAATAGAACCCTATTTGAGAGTCAATCTAATACTTACATTACATTGATAAATTAAGGCAAATCCTGAAATATTTTTAAAGTGCGTTTTTTTAATGAAATATTATCCAGCAAGTATTTAAATGAAACGGTCTTATTTAAATACAAATCATAACATGATATTTTTCATGAAACATTTTTCAATGAAATTCAATTGAAGGGTCAAGATAAAACGAGCTAATTTAGCTGAAAACCCTTACATGATGATGTGTTTTCATAACTTCTTTCATAAAATTCCATCAAGGGGTGAAGATAAAATGATCGAATTTAAGTGATTTAAGGATCACGAGAATATGTTTTCTTTGATATTTTCTATGAAATCCCATCCAATGGTCAAGGTAAAATTTTGATTTTGATTTTGATTTGGTCACGTGTTCGAAAGATCCATATAAGGCCCATAGACCATATAGGAACGTCATTTTGAATGTCACATGATAGATCCATATAAGGCTTTTAGAACCATTTATGGAAAGATGAGGGGAAGCCCCTGACACCTGTTTCACGATTTTTATGCACTTCATTATTGTACCGAAGTTTGCCGATTCGATTCGTCGTATTTCGGAATCCTGGTGACAATTTTATACTCCATTGGAGTATTTTTGACCTACTTCTTATGACGGAAATTCCCGAACCTTGTTCGGATTAATCCGGATTTTCTGACCTACCTTATCTACCGAGATTTCACGAGTTAACATTCGTCTCATTCCGGAATCCTGGTGACAATTTTATTTTTGATCTACTTTTTCTGGATTTTGCCCTACTTATTATATCTTGACAACAAGCAAATCAAAAAGTTCGACATGAACGGGTCTCGATCAACTAACCTAGACTATGGAAGCCAGGCACGCTAACCATGAGACCAACGAGCTACCGATATGAAAGAACAAAAGTATTATATATTTATACCGAGCGTCAATTCAAAATGATCCTCACTTTTGTCTCCACTTAAATACGACTCGTCAGTTGTATCCAGAATAGTAGAACGCCTATGGCGCTAGTGAATAACCAAGTCCCAGGTGAGTGGTTCGTATCCCTCCGTGATATACTATTTTTGTTTTATTAAATACGACAGAAAGGAGCAAGGTGTAGGTTGAAAACAAGACGTTAGTTTGTTTCAAAACAGTTTGGAAACATTAATCTCTGGAACATTATTTTTTCAACACTGATACAAATTTCCCTGACATTTCCCTGACATGTCTACCGTTTCAAAATTCCCGGTCATCTTTGGCCCTTTTGACCTAATTTTAAAATTACCTGACATTTCCAGCACTTGGAAAATCAAGTCAATTTCCCTGACATTTCCAGGTGTGTATGAACCCTGGAAATATCCCACTGGCTCGCCCTATGAATCGCTAGCACAGATTGGATTGATTAGTGTTTCAAAATGGTGGACGAAGTGTTTGATTAGATAATTTACATATTAAGCTTCTTAAAGGGGCAACAAGGCCTGTACATAGAAAATTCGAAATTTTTTACATTTTCTGAATTTTTAGGGCAACGTTTGGCTTTAACATCTTTTTTTATACATTTTTTCTTAAAATGTATGGATAAACAATAAAATTTCAGCATTAAGCATCAAAGCTTCTATAAAGGGAGTCCAACTTATAGATTTTGAAAATCCGACTCGTTTAAAGAAGAATATCAGCAGCTTAAATCACGCCTTGTGATCATACAAAATGGATGGAGGGGGGGGGGGGGGTAGGCGATTTCTGCAAGAAAACTCAACAAATTTGGAAGATTTATTTTTTTCAAGATAAAATTTACAACTGAATTGCCAAATGAATAGGCGCAGTTCATGGCAAAATATGTAAGGTCTTCTAGTATTTTTTGAACTGATACGCTTCTAAGATATGAGATCTATTATAAGAGGCGCATCATCATCATCATCATCATCAACGTGCAAAAGTCAATGTTTTTGCTATAAATCAGGCAACAATGGTCTACACGACCTGTAATAAATAGGTATGAGGGGCGTTATTAGAGAATTTTCGTTATAAGTTTTTTTTAAAACTTATACGTATACTTATACTTATAAACCCAATAAACAAGGTGTTTCATAATTTCCTAATTCGTCGGGAAATATCTCCTTGGACGGTAATAAAAAGGGCCAATGGCATACCATCCGTACCCCCTTGATGTAAAGCATGTTTAGTTGTGTCAAATGTGTTTTCTAGAATCAAATAGGCTGATATAGCACACGGGTTTTACAGATTCATCTACTCTCAAATATATTTTTTGTAGATGATCGTTTTGAATCACCTTGTAGAAATAACGAAGGGAGAATTAGTTCAGCTAATGAATGAGTCGAGCTATTTGATTGGATACTATGCCTATTCAGCCGATTAATTTTAATAAACCATTCTGGTCAGTAGGTCCACACATATACTATGCGGAGATCCAACTCTGTAAGTTTATAATCTGCGTATAAAGGCCCTTTTATACGTAAAAACTTAAAAATTGACCGTATAATTTCATGAGAACTTTGAAATGATCGACTCGTTCGTGTAGTGATTCACTTTAAAGGGTCTTGTTTATTGTACACTACAAGGACCCGTCAACTAGAATTTAGTTTATCGTGTTCATAATTGAAACTAGCAAAGGACATTGTATTCGCAGTCCCTAGTTGATGATGAAGCTTGACTATATCGGGAATAGTTATGCCCCACTTGGTACAGATTATGAAAATCAATTTGAATTGATTTTAGTTCGACAAGACCCTTTAAACTATCAGTATACGTATAAGTTTTTGAAACAACTTATAACGAAAATTCTCTATTATCACAACACTGACATTGCTCACTTTTTAAAGTTGTTTCAAAGCGTTATATGTAAATGGGCGTGTGGAAGGCCCGTGGGTGGCAATAAAATAACTCGAACTTCAAATTAAAATATATATAAAATAGTATATTTCAAACTTCAATGTTTAAAATACAATGCTCTGTAATGTACAACATGAACTCTTACAGCAACTACTGACAAGCCAACACCCAATGCAAACTCAGCTACATGTGAGTGAGAAAGACCATATAGGGGAACAATAGATATATAAAACTGACACAGTTTGCATAGTTGAATAACTCAAGGTGAAAAGTGAACATGGTATTAAAAGAGTAAAACTGCAAACAACCTACTTAGGGACCTGTTATATTGAGATGAATAGGGATTGATTAATATGAACAGTAATAATATAAAATGTGAAAATGACCATGTTACATATACAAAAAATAACCCCATTGTTACAAAATCACAAAAAGTGAAATATCTATTCTTGTATTGCATTTTCGTTCACTGGACATATTTTAATTGCATTGCTATTAGATACATTTTAAGGGTGATATGAAAATTGAACCACGAAAACAGATGTACTTTAAGTTAAAGGGAACTTTCTACCATACCCGCTATGCTATCTGACCCGAACGAGCCACCTTGTGGTGAGATTGGTAACTACCTGCTCGCATCTGCGTTATTACGCAGAGACATAAACGTATACACAAGGAAACGATAGGAGATAACCTATTTTATCTCTGTATACATTTTAACTTTAATACATCGTTGAATCGAATTTGTCCAAAGGTCTTGAAACGTAAAATACCTAAATATTTATCTTAGACCTTGGGATGACCTTGTACAAGAAACATTAATGTTGACCTCGGTTCATCTAATCATAATTCGCCAAGGGCCATAGTATCATCAAACGCCAAATACCTAGACATTGATCGTTTACTTGGATTTAAATAAGGAGTATGATTTTAAAATTGGCTAGGTCGTGGTTAAGCAACAATAGTATGTTCGAAATACCGCTGTGTAATGCCTGGATCACATTTGCTGCGAGTATTTTGTTCAAAATTGAATACATTTCTGAACACAATACTCAATCGGCCGGGCGCCGTAGTGAAAATCGGAGCAAATGTGACCAAGACATAAAACAATTGAATAATACTGTATCAGTTTCACATTTACAGCGGTCAAAAGCATTTACAAAAAAACCGCCAGAGTTGGCAATCATATAAAATGAAACCAATCCCGCTGTGATTCATAGAAATAACTAATTTACTGAATTGAGTTCAATGTTATAACCATGTCGATTTACATGAGTGTCCGATTCATTGTACCAAAGGATCTTGTACACCTGCCATTATGATCTCCCCATGAACAAAATGAATCATTTTTAGGTGTAATATAAAGAATACAATGTTACATAATACTTTGGAAAATATTTAAGCGTTTGGCCCCACATGGGCTGATGTTGGGGTCATTAAGTTCAGCAAGGGTGTATTGACTTGACATTGGATGTGTTCTATTGACTAACATGTGGATACCATCAGATTCCAATGGAGGCCATTGGTTTCTATTGATTTTCACAAAAATACCTAAAATACACTATGACCTGAATCGATTGCAAATTAAATAATTTCACAATATGACACAAATGGTATTTCAGATCAGATGTGCAAATATAAAGTTTGCAATCGATTCAGGTCATACTTCAAATTAAAAGATTATTCATTTTTTTCATCATTTTTTTCCTACAAAATGGCTATAGAAAAATGCTTCAAAAGCAACTTTTACACTTATGAAATCCCATACAACTTTGTAAATCCAAAGATTATACTGTTATGATTCATTAATTAATAACATATTTTGATAAGATGTAGGGATGTGTAGGATGCAAATGGATTTTGACAGACACAAAAAGACTTCCTGGTTTGGCATCTCTACCCCTGTACACTTTATGATTGAATATTGCCCTAAAAAGTGGCCAATTCATCAATTCAGTGCTGAATATAGGTCAACAAGATACTAGTGTACATATAAATGTAATAATAAAAGCAGTATATTTATTTTGAAAAATCAGATGAATTTATTTTTGTTCATGGGGAGATCATAATGGCAGGTGTACAAGATCCTTTAAACCTTGACTGTTCTCCAGAAAGCAATAAGCTGACATATATCATATTTTACATTTTAATACAACTGAAAAGATAATAAATGTTTTAATATAAAGTTGACGTAGTTATAAATCTTTTCAGCGTAAAATCAAAGCACAACCATATAATTAAAAACATTACGCTGGGATTCCAACTAGATACAACTGACGAGTTGTATTTAGGTGGCCTAAAGTGCTGCTTATTTTTTCGTGAAGCCACTCAGTAAAATTACGATTTCTCTCAACCCTGGTGTTCAATCAACATCATTCGAGTATCTATATGTTTCTGACACGTTCGGGCATCCGGTTATGACAACGTCTACCCAATGTTTGCACGAGAAATTGACGTAATTCATGACTGAAATCGGGAAGACAAAAATATGTGATATTCTTTCAGAATTGTTTATAATAACTATTTACAAAAACGTTCCCGAGACACAATCCATTTAGGTAGGGTTTGTTTTAAAGTCGAAAAGCCCCAATAAGACAATACAAACCCAGATTAAACCCAGAAGAATGCAGATTTCATGTAATGATTTACGTTCATGTAAACAAGGAAAGTACATATAATCCCCATATAAAACACTGGCCTACGTGACATGTAAACACAGGTTCAAATTGAAATATAGAAAATTTTCAACATAGCATTTGCTTCTGTGTTCTGTATGCCCCTCTACCTGCTAATAAGGCAATGTATCTTCAAATAAAACCTTAGCCAAGTAGATAAGGGTCTCTGGAACACTTTTGTAAATAGTTTTCACAAGCAATTTTATTCCCGGACGCCCAAACGTGTCAGGAACACATATATATTTGAATGATCTTGATTGGACATCAGGTTGCAGAGAAATCGTATTTTTACTGAGTGGATTATTGAATTTCATAGATCTAGAGGCCCTTCAGGAGTGGAAAACCTTAAATTATCAGAGATTAATGTTTCCAAACTGTTTTGAAACAAACTAACGTCTTGTTTTCAACCTACACCTTGCTCCTTTCTGTCGTATTTAATAAAACAAAAATAGTATATCACGGAGGGATACGAACCACTCACCTTGGACTTGGTTATTCACTAGCGCCATAGGCGTTCTACTATTCTGGATACAACTGACGAGTCGTATTTAAGTGGAGACAAAAGTGAGGATCATTTTGAATTGACGCTCGGTATAAATATATAATACTTTTGTTCTTTCATATCGGTAGCTCGTTGGTCTCATGGTTAGCGTGCCTGGCTTCCATAGTCTAGGTTAGTTGATCGAGACCCGTTCATGTCGAACTTTTTGATTTGCTTGTTGTCAAGATATAATAAGTAGGGCAAAATCCAGAAAAAGTAGATCAAAAATACTCCAATGGAGTATAAAATTGTCACCAGGATTCCGGAATGAGACGAATGTTAACTCGTGAAATCTCGGTAGATAAGGTAGGTCAGAAAATCCGGATTAATCCGAACAAGGTTCGGGAATTTCCGTCATAAGAAGTAGGTCAAAAATACTCCAATGGAGTATAAAATTGTCACCAGGATTCCGAAATACGACGAATCGAATCGGCAAACTTCGGTACAATAATGAAGTGCATAAAAATCGTGAAACAGGTGTCAGGGGCTTCCCCTCATCTTTCCATAAATGGTTCTAAAAGCCTTATATGGATCTATCATGTGACATTCAAAATGACGTTCCTATATGGTCTATGGGCCTTATATGGATCTTTCGAACACGTGACCAAATCAAAATCAAAATCAAAATTTTACCTTGACCATTGGATGGGATTTCATAGAAAATATCAAAGAAAACATATTCTCGTGATCCTTAAATCACTTAAATTCGATCATTTTATCTTCACCCCTTGATGGAATTTTATGAAAGAAGTTATGAAAACACATCATCATGTAAGGGTTTTCACCTAAATTAGCTCGTTTTATCTTGACCCTTCAATTGAATTTCATTGAAAAATGTTTCATGAAAAATATCATGTTATGATTTGTATTTAAATAAGACCGTTTCATTTAAATACTTGCTGGATAATATTTCATAAAAAAATGCACTTTAAAAATATTTCAGGATTTGCCTTAATTTATCAATGTAATGTAAGTATTAGATTGACTCTCTTTTTTATTGAAATTAATACTAGGCAGGACTCACTCTCTAAATAGCTAATAAAAATTCAACCCTTGGATGTGATTTCGTTGAAAAAAATATATGACAAGTCCAGAATCAAATGATTTGTCCAGAACCTCTTAAGATCCTGTTATTAGGAAAATTATAAAATTTGCCCATTCGGGAAATTAACAAATCGGATTAAATACCACTTAAATACCACCATACAGTATATTTGAAATAAAGGATTTAACAACTTACTAGATAAAATACATTGGGTATAGTCATGTAATGTTCTGAAGAAGTCTGGATAATATTTTCATCTTTTTTTGTTATTTTATCTAAACAACCATGCCATTCTACCAGGTTTGTAGTCAGGACAGTTGGCACATATATAGAAAGAACAGTCGAGTTTTTGCAAATTTTTATTAAGTTACTGAAGGGTATCTGCAAACGATGAAAAAGTAGATGAATTGGTCACTTATTTCAGTCTACATGAAGCCATTTTCACGCTAGGAAACTCACTTGAGATGACCCTCAAAATAGCCGAATAAATACAATACATATTTTTCAGATAACCCCTCCATGGTGTGAATGATGCTTTGAATAGACTTATAACATATTATACAAAACATATTTACCCCTTTTCAGATAACTCTCCACCTTCGGAGCATGTTACACTAGATGGTGTGAAATATGCTTTGGATAGACTTGTAACATATTATATAAAACATATTTACCCCTTTTCAGATAACTCCACCACATTTGGAGCATGTTACACTAGATGGTGTAAATGGTGCTTTGGATAGACTTATAACATATTATGTAAAACATATTTACACTTTTTCAGAAAACTCCCCCACCTTTGGAGCATGAAACACTAGATGGTGTAAATGATGCTCTTGATAGACTTATAACATATTATACAAACTATATTTACCATTTTTCAGATAACCCCCCCCCCCCAACCTTTGGAACATGTTACACTAGATGGTGTAAATGATGCTTTGGATAGACTTATAACATATTATATAAAACATATTTACACTTTTTCAGAAAACTCCCCCACCTTTGGAGCATGAAACACTAGATGGTGTAAATGATGCTTTTGATAGACTTTTAAGATATTATTATACAAACTATATTAACCATTTTTCAGATAACCCCCCCAACCTTTGGAACATGTTACACAAGATAGTGTAAATGATGCTTTGGATAGACTTATAACATATTATATAAAACATATTTGCCGCCTTTCAGATAACTCTCCACCTTTGGAGGATTCTACACTAGTTGGTGTAAATGATACTTTGGTTAGACTCATACCATATTATACAAAATATATTTACACTTTTTCAGATAACTCCTCCACCTTTGGAGCATGTTACACTAGATGGTGTAAATGGTGCTTTGGATAGACTTATAACATATTATATAAAACATATTTACACATTTTCAGATAACTCCCCCACCTGTGGAGCATGTTACACTAGATGGTGTAAATGGTGCTTTGGATAGACTTATAACATATTATATAAAACATATTTACACATTTTCAGATAACTCCCCCACCTGTGGAGCATGTTACACTAGATGGTGTGAATTATGCTTTGAATAGACTTATAACATATTATACAAAATATGTTTACACTTTTTCAGATAACCCCCCCCCAACCTTTGGAGCATGTTACACTAGATGGTGTAAATGGTGCTTTGGATAGACTTATAACATATTATGTAAAACATATTTACCCATTTTCAGATGACCCCTCTACATTTGGAGTATTTTACACTAGATGGTGTGAATTATGCTTCGAGTAGACTAATAACATACTATATAAAACATATTTAGCCATTTTCAGATGACCCCTCTACATTTGGAGCATGTTACACGAGATGGTGTAAATGATGCTTTGGATAGAATTATAACATATTATATAAAACATATTTACACATTTTCAGATAACTCCCCCGCCTTTGCAGCATTTTACACTAGATGGTGTAAATGGTGCTTTGGATAGACTTATAACATATTATGTAAAACATATTTACACATTTTCAGATAACTCCCCAACCTTTGGAGCATGTTACACTAGATGGTGTAAATGGTGATTTGGATAGACTTATAACATATTATATAAAACATATTTACACTTTTTCAGATAACTCCCCCACCTTTGGAGCATGTTTCACTATATGGTGTAAATGATGCTTTGGATAGACTTATAACATATTATATAAAACATATTTACACATTTTCAGATAACTCCCCCACCTTTGCAGCATTTTACACTAGATGGTGTAAATGGTGCTTTGGATAGACTTATACCATATTATATAAAACATATTTACCCATTTTCAGATGACCCCTCGACATTTGGAGAATGTTACACAAGATGGTGTGAATTATGCTTTGAATAGACTAATAACATATTATACAAAATATATTTACACTTTTTCAGATAACTCCCCCACCTTTGGAGCATGTTTCACTAGATGGTGTAAATGATGCTTTGGATAGACTCAGAAAGGGCCAGATTAAAGGAAGAGCAGTTATCACGTTTGATTAAAGATGTTCTTCAACGAGGACTTGTCTGCCAACATACTGCCAGTTATAAACAATACTCAATAATAGCATTTATATGAAACAGCTCCCGTGGACAGACTCAGAAAGGGCCAGATTAAAGGAAGAGCAGTTATCACATTTGATAAAAGATGTTCTTCAACGAGGTCTGCGGAAATACTGCCAGTTATAAACAATACTCAATAATAACATTTATATGGAACAGCTCCCGTGGACAGACTCAGAAAGTGCCAGATTAAAGGAAGAGAAATTATCATGTTCTTCAATGAAGATTTTTGACAAACATGCTCTCAGTTATAAGCAATACTCAATAATAACATATATACGGAAGAGATTCTGTGGTTTCTGTGGCAATACACTTTCACGACTATATTAGCTATAAGTTCCTGTCACTCTCTTCTTTGAATGTAATACATAATCTTTGTAGGATGCAATGGTTCTTGAGTGATATCATTTCATCCAATAGAGAGTATAACAAATGAGTGCATATATTGATATTGATGAGTGGATTAAGATGATAATGCGAAAATGATTGCAATGTTCTATTTATCCAATAATAATAAAACCAAACCAAGTATTTCAAACAACATTTAATTTTATTTGTCATATCAACTGTATAATTTCATCATTATAACGTGACGCCATGATATCACATACCCAGAAGAATACTCGTCATATTGGTGGGAGTAAGACGGGGAAAACCCCAGGGTTCAGAGAAGACATGTAAATGTAATGTAAATGTCCATTGAGAAGACATCGTCGCATTTACAAAATATCATGAATATATTTACATGTTATCATCCATCACAGAGTTGACCTCAATTGAGGGATAAAATATAATATACATGTAATATAATCTAACATAATTTTATAACATTATACTATACCTAAATGTAGATTTTGTTAAGTTTCGTTGGTAACTCTCTTGGAACAACATTATTTTGGTATCGTACAATATCGTACAATGAAACTTAAGATGTCAAAAACTGGGTATAATTTTCCAAAATGTGTCATATAAAGAGCCAATACTCTAAAAATAATTTGGAAAAGTGCACGATATATGTTTCGTTATAACGTATCAATAAGCAACAGAAATTGAGCAAAAGCTCTATCCTACATGAACAGGGTGTCCCGAAAGTACCCCCCCCCCCCTAGGCAGACATATTGTCATCTTAAAAGATAGTGTTTTGTCAAAATAAAGTTCAATTTTACACAAGATTACTAGACAATGTGTCCCCCCTTGGCCATGTTAACAGCAGCAATAATTTTAAGATATGACCTTAAAAACCCTTCAAATAGGGGTGTGGAATTTTATAACCCTCTTAAAACCTTTTAAGGGACTTTAGAAGAGTTTCCTTAGAGTTTCTACCCTCACTGTTCTCTTTTTTCATCCCTCCGACCCAAAAAGAATTGCTGCTGTTAAGATGGCCCAGGAGGACACGTTGACTAGTGATTTGGTGTAAAATTGAACTTAATTTTGACCAAACACTAACTTTTGAAATGCCTGTTATTTTTCACATTTGAGAGTTGAACCATGATACTTGGCAAATCAATGTAACTTTGAATAAGCTTTAAAATGATATATGACGCATACTATGACGAAACTGGTGTATGTCTGCCTAGGGGGGGGACACCCTGTATGTACAGTCCAAAAACTTTAGTTGAGTTACAATGTTCACATACACATACAATGTACTTTATAAATAAGAAATAAATTTAGGGTATGTTTAAATAGTTAACATTTAGATAATATACTTCATGACATGATAAGGTGATCTTTTTTCTTCGTATACTTTGATGTGTATTTTACTCCCCAGTTAGTGTTAAGAAAAAATCTCCTCAGACCTGCTTTCTCTAATTGCTCTAAATTTTTCCACATTGCTAAATATTGTTGTTTTTGGTACTTTATTATGAGAGCTTGCTATAGAATTGCCAGTGTGTTTTCGCATGTGTGTGTGATATTTATAAACTATTTTTTTGTATCCCCCAGAATTCCATCCTCGATCAAGCTCGGCTATGACTCAATGGCAGAGCCAAGGTTTCCACTATCACTTGGCCCTGGGTTCGATTCCTGGTTAAGACGAATCAATTTTTGCGTTATGCAATTCTGGGTGTTTGACTGAGTGGTCCACAACTCGTATAAAAAGGATGTATTTGTATGTCTGTGTAAAGGTGTACATAAAATATACGGGACTCCTCCAACATGTCCAACGATGTTTTTTTGCCTCTGTCTTTGAGTGTACGTGTAAAACACGTAAGATACGGAAATATACCAATGAATGAGGTAATGCTCGCCAAAATAAGGCGGTAACCAAAATACAAGACATTGAGCTGTGACATGGAATATTACTAGAGATTACAATGAGTGACATGGTCTTCTACAAGAGATAAATGATATGGTAACAAGATATGACAGCGTGAAATGATATGATACATGAAATGACAGCGTGTGACATGGCATGTACAAGCTGTGATTGACTTTGTAGGATACAAAATACTGACAGTGAGAAGAGAGTGAAATGATATGATACCATTTCACATTATGTTACAAGATATGACAGTGAGTGATATGGTATTTTACAAGATATGACAGTGAGTGACGGGTTTACGAAAAACACCGACCGCCGACCACCGACCACCGACCAGTCACTCTCCACAGTTGGGTACATGTGGTCGGTGGTCGGCTGACGGTCTTTTACATAAAGATGAAAAATGCAAAATTAGAAGTAAAACTAAAACTGGGAATCCAATGACTATAGTACCTTTACTAGGTCGTGATTCAGTTAAAAACGTATAATTAATCATTTCAAATCACGATGAAAACGTTACATCGTCGTGGTGTGTAATGTCATATTTTTAAGTGATGTTTCAGTTGTTAGATCCAATTTCATCCTGGTTAGTCACTTTGGAAAAAAACGCACGTAACATTGCATTAAGTTCATTCATATGAAACGCAATAAAAAAACATACAAACATCGTCGATGTTGACCAGTTGACGTCGTAACGTTATGTTTGATTTCTCAGTTGTTAAACGTCAACTAGTAAAAACTACATTTGATTTGACAAAAAAAGCTTTTTAATGGCGTACTGAAATGGTAAGTCACTTTTAATCCCGATAAGAGAACGCATGTAACATTATATCGTTTTCAGTATTCAGTAGACTATGACGATAACAAATCATTTTTGTTTCGAAATTGTTAAATTTCATTAAAAAGAAAGGATAGGTTGGTTAATGATAGGTTAGGACCTAAGGCAGGACAATTAATCGAGAGGAGACGGTCATTCCCAATTTGTTTGCTTGCCATTCGTTGCAAGGTACAAAATCGGTAAAACGCCTGCCTAGTCCAACGATTGACATTCAAAATCAAATTATTAATATTTTAAGGCTACAAATATGTTCGGTCTTTTACATGATATGGTCGGTCTTTTACACATTTTCTTCTTTCAAACAAAAATGAATTCAAGTTCACATCCAGTTTACACTCAGTTTACACTTAATTTACACCAGACCTTGGTATATACTTCGATGTTAACTTTACCTCAAGTAAATAGGTATTTACTAGCAGAAAGTAAACACTGATTTACTAGGTGTAAACTTGACTTAGAATTTGTTAAAAGTGAAAAATGGGTGTAAATTAGACTCAGAAAAATCAAATATTGGTCAAGGTGTAAACTAAGTGTATACTTGATTGAATCCTTATTCCAAAACGAGGCTCGTGCAGCCTCTCTTTCAATCAAAGCTGGCTTAGCCATTTTGGTTTTGGTAAGTCTTTACAAAATCCTATAACATCGGCCCTGATACAGTTTTACTTTATTTGATTTTGGTGTCAACTTTACCATTAGGTATTAGTTGTGCATTTGTTCGTGTCATCTTCATTGTTCATTTAGTTATCCATTTTCTTAAGCTTCAAATTTCTTTTCAATATATCCATTGAATCTTTCTACTTTTTGTGCTTGCCTGTTTATTTTGATCTTTTCACCTAGAATTCATTCTAATCTGCATCATGATGGCACTATATCCTAGGTTGTAATTCAATAGCCTATGGGTCAGTTTATTTGAATAGGTTTTTATAGACATACATTTATTTATACCTTGAAGACTGGCAACTTTTTGGAAAAATGAAGAAAATGAAAAAATGTTATTTGTAAAAGAGTCTAGAAGCAAGAGAAGGAAACAAGAGCCAATAAATTATATAGACCTATATTTTATGGATTTTTCTTGAAAATTTTGAATATGCAAAAGAGTGTCATTCATAATTCAGGATGGCGGATTTTGACTTTTTACAAAACAGAATTATTTTAGCATTTTTTGTTTAAAACTTCAATCTAAAAATCTGAGCAGAATTACTCGTATAGATCTTTAATGATGATCATTCTGTGATATTTGTACTAACTCCTACAAATACGTTTAAAGCGCTAAGACAGAAAATTCCAGGAAAATCCCTATGGCGATGGGATTTTTTGTTTTTGCAATATTTTGCAATTCGTTATGCTTTGGACCCCCTGTATCTCCATTGATAATATTCTCTGATCACAGTGCTTTAAAATTCAGACTATCTTTGCATTCTCTTTCCCTGCTATAAGCAGTTAGCATTTCGACAATTAAGGATTAGGTGAACTACATGTATGTGAACTAACTGCAAATTAGTTTAAAATCTGACCAATCAGAGTGTGCTCTTGATGTAAATTGGATGTATAAATTAGCTCAATTGTATGTGAAATTTGTCACCTATTTACTGGGTGTAAGTGTAAACTGAGTGTAAACTTAAGTGAAAACTAAGTGCGAACTGGATGTAAACTAGATGTAAACTAGATGTAAACTTAAGTGTAAATTGAATGTATACTAAGGTGTAAACTGAGTGTAAATTAAAGTGTAAATTAGCTCATTTGCATATGAAATTGGTCACCTATTTACTGGGTGTAAACTTAGTGTAAATTGTAGGAAAGCCTTTGTAAATTTTGATATGGGATTGGACGTGACATGTTGTGTTACAATGGAAGTGAGTTATATTACAAGATATGACAGGGATCTAGAGTGATTGAGTGACATGATTTTCTTACTTCGGTCCAAAGCCTTCTCTATATTCCGGCTTTGAGGAGGAAGATTGAGCTGCCTGAGTATTATAAATATTGTAAATCATTGTGTCACACGCACAGTAAATATGGCATAATAATATGAAATATACCTTTATGTATAGATTTGAAGAACATCAGCTCACATCCCCGTCTGAATCCCCGTCTGAATCTATTGTTATATTTGATTTCTTTAAGCGAGAATAATTTCAAATGTTATTCACGTCCAGAACCGGAAGCCATTTTTAGCTACAGCGAGAAAATTTCACCATGTGTCAAACTCCGAAATGAAATTTTGAAATATCTAAATCCAGACAAGCAACGCTTCCCATATCAAAATTTACAAAGGCTTTACACCTACAATTTACACTCAGTTTATACTTACTTTAAAAATACTTACTAAAAAATGCTAAAATAATTCTGTTTTGTAAAAAGTCCAAATTCGCCATCTTGAATTATGATGTCACAATGACACTATTTTGCATTTTCATTTTTTTTCAAGAAAAAACTCCTAAAATATGGGTCTATATAATTTATTGGGCCTTGCTTCCTTCTCTTGCTTCTAGATTCTTTTACAAATAACTTTTTTATTTTCTTCATTTTTCCAAAAAGTTGCCAGTCTCCAAGGAGTTAATGAATGTATATGTC